AGTGAGTCCAAACAGTTTGTTGTCACTTGTATGTAGTCTAATAAGATTCAATGCTGCTACAGTTTTTGGAATATAGAAAGGAACAAAACAAAATCAATCAATAAGATTAAGTAAGGAAAATAAAAGGTTAAATATTAGAAAACTCATCATAACTATAGATGATCATTGAATAAGCCCCCATACCTTGGAAACTTTCAGAACGACCCCCTTAAGTTTAGACATTATAACACACATTTTACAGCAACTTGTGCCAGTTAACATTAGATGAAAAAGAAGGTTTCTAGGAAACTATCCTAATTTGGGCCATATTTCACATTATCATCCTTAATTATCCGAATTTCAGAAAATACTCATGTCGATCATTTTGTTAACATAAAACCATTTATTCTGTTTTCCATCCAATTTTCCATCAAAGGAATTATAGATTTACGATTTTACCTCATATAAGTTTAATTTTGTTGAACTTAAGGATCAAAGTTAAATATTCAAATGTAAGAAGACAAAATTAACCCTTTAAAATTGAACTCAATCTAGTTATTAAATTAACTCTAGTTAATCATTAACTAAATTAATTAAATCAAGGGGTATTGTGAATAGACCCCTGTAGCATTACCCCATTTGTAGATGGATCAATTGTAGTTTTGTTGTTGCATATAGACCCCTATAGCATTTAATCAAGTGCAGATAGACTCCCTTAGTGAATTATTTCGACTCTTTGAGTCAAAAAAATTATCAATTCAAGTTTACGTCCCAACAAATACAATTATAGGGGTCCATCCACATCCTCAAAATTGTTGACTCTTTTATTATAAAAAACAAAAAATAAATAATAAAATAATAAAATAGAATTATAGTTTGTTCTGCTTTCTATAGGGTGCTTCTACTTATTTTTCAAGAAGTAGTAAATGATGATGCTCGATAAACTTTTTTTGCATGCTTATTAAAAGTGCTTCTGCTTTAAATTTTTTTCTACTTTTTGTAATTTATATACGATATATCCTATATATATTTATATATTATTTTTATTAGAAATAAACATGAAGCTAAAATTATGTTTATTTTAGTCATTTCACTTAAAATAATATTTAAGCATAATCTTATGAAATGCCTTAACTATTTTTGATATCAACTATTTTTATTATATGATTATCAAATGATTTTTTCAACAACTTATATAAGTCCACCTCTATAAGCGACTAAACAACTTATTATAAAAGCTCTAGCATACCAAACTATCTTTAAAACTAGGGGGGGATCTTGGTTTGCCCCAAGGATGCAATTCCTCTCTGAAAATTTTCAAACTTACATTTGTTGGCCTCTTTGTTTTGATGATGTTTAACAAACAATTTACATCTAATATTGTTTGTCTAGTGTTTGTGTTTTATATTTATTCTAGGCAAACAATATGTTGGAGGATGGATGGAATTGCGCTTCAATGATCATATCCAATGGAGGTTGGCGGAATAGTGGTTGAAGCCTATGCAATTCAAAGTTAAAGATCTAAGTTCTAGCTTCATCCGCAATGCGTACCAAGTCAAGATGATTGAAGATCAAGATCAAACTTGAGTATATTTAGTTTAGGTTTTATATTATGTGTGTTAAGTGCTTTAAGCTCAATCATATATCACACACATACATTTTAGTTTATATATATATATATATATATATATATATATATATATATATATATATATATATGATTTCATCAATATCAAGTTTATTTAGTTAAATGAAATCATATTTATTGTTTTGAAAAGTTTGTAGAATATGCAATTTTGTGAAAATATTGTTTTATTGGTTTATTGACTTAACAATTATTATATACATCTTTCATTAAGTTAATAAAATTATTTTGTAAAGTTTCAAAACATGGTTTTGCCAAAATGTCAAAATTCATATGCTTAGTTTTCATGTTTTGAACTAGTTTTGTAAAATAATGAGTTTTCACTATTGAGAAGTGCAATTCCAAAAATTCTTTTTGTAACATGTTAATTAACATGTTTATAAACTATTCCCCAAATTTTACAATTTTTGGAATTTATTTGATATTTTTAAACATGGTTTAAAGTTGAGTTTTTCTGTGCATTTCAGATCTGTGCACGTTTAGTCGACTCATTAGTCGACTCATCAGTCGACTCACAAAGTATAGCGGAGTTATGATTTTCGTCTGCTGAGTTGACTCATATAAGTCGACTCATAAGTCGACTTATCGGAGAGCCGTTGTACAGTAACGGCTAGTTTCCAGATTTGATTATTTTAATATTTTTATGGGATTTTGTTGGATTCATGGGCTAGTTTCTTCAAGCCTATATATACCCCTTTACATGAACTATTTTAAGCATCAAAGAGAATGTTTTAACAAAGTTTTAACAAGGGTTTAAGTTTTGTTTAGTGTTCGTTTAAAAAGCTTTTAAGCATTTAAGAGTTTGAGTTTGTGAAATCAATTCTACAAGAGCTTGAGGAGATCATCTATTAGAGTTTGAGCATCCAACTATTCTCCCTCTATCTCTTAATCCATTGAGAAGTTTCCCTAAACTATTTTCTAGCTTTATATCTATTTGTTTGATTATCATCTTATTAAAGCTAGTTTTATATTGAGTTTAGATTTAATTAATCTCATTGTTACACACACCCACTTGAGCTTATTGTATTTGCATTTATAATATATTTAGACTTGTGAGAGATAGTAACATTGAGTTGTGCCTAATTGAGTTCTCGTTCATTGTAGAGAACAAATCATTTGTTGTTATTGTGCTTAATTATAAGGAACACTTTGTAATACACTAGTACACCAAGAGGAGTGTGTGGTGAGAGATGAGATCGTCCCAAGAGGAGTGGGGTAGGTGATAATGCCTAGAGAGAGGTTATAATTCCTAACACTTGAGGGAGATACAGGCTAGAGACCAACACTTGAGGTGATAGTTAGTGTAGTTACATTATGAGTGTTGTAAAGTTTTCGGTGAACTAGAAAACCGATTGTGAGGTGTAAACGTTTTTCGGGTAAGCGTAGAAAACCCGGTGTGATAGTGGAGATCTCCTCGAGGTGAGGAGCGGGGACATAGGTCGTGGGGACCGAACCTCGTGAACATATCGTTTGTTTGTGATTACATTGGGGGCACTTTCTTTTGTGTTTATCATTATATCGCATTTGTCAATTACTCATTGTTTATATTGCCCACTATCTTATTTATCTTGTTTATAGATTGTTTACCCTTGTGTTATTTATATATCCTTGCATATATTTCAACATATATCTCATTGCTAGGATATATCTCTTTGTTCATATTGCATATTATTGCTATTCTTGCTCATAATTAGTTGTTTATATATTGGAAGAATATATTTGTTAATAAGTTTTAATTGGCATTTAAATCAGATTAGATTAGCATAAACCCTATTCACCCCCCTCTAGGGTTCTTTTCTAGTGGCATTAGAGTCCAACAACATTTGATTCATTGAATTATTTCCAGTTCGCCTCTTAAAAAGATTTTACAAATTGCACCTCAGCCTATACAAAACACACTTGAATTCCCACCCAAGCAACACCTACGCCTAGTTTGGTACGTGAGAATCGAGTGAGAAGAGAATGGAATGGAATTAATGTGAGAATGAAAACTCATTTCCATTCTCACGTTTGTGTGCAATTTATAAAATAAAATGGGAATGGACATATTTTGAAATTTTATATTTTATTGATTCTCACTTAAGTGGAAACGCCCGTTCCGTGTCGTTTCATCGAGAATGCTCATTCCTGCATAAAGGGGAAATTAAGAAATGGTAATTGATGAGATGTGAGAATGAACATTCTAACTTCAAAAAAGAGGTTGTGTTGGGTGAGAAGGAATGAAAAGTGAAAATTAATATTCCATTCTCTCTCATTCATGCGTACCAACCGAGTCTTGGGCGAAGGACTAAAACCCTAAAATAAAATAGAATTTTAGAGGCCCAAACCAGATAACCCAAAACCCCAAACTTAATATCCAAAACTAAAACCCAAAACTAATAACTAAAACCCAATACCCAATACTTTATCGAGTCTTTTTTGATATATATATATACTCCCAAAGTTAGATGCATTCTTAACGTTGCCTCTCAAATCATCAAAGTTCTAAATTTGCCCCTCAAATTACCTTATTTGCTTGATTTGGCCCAAACCCTAATTGAGGTTAAAATTTTAGCAGTCTTTAAGGCTAAATTATTTTTGTATCCCATGTTTAATTATTTAGAAAAATAAAATCGGCAAAAAGGAAGAAAAATATAACAATTAAAAATATAACCCATCTAGAAATCCAACCCATCATCAGAAGATAATAGCGGGAATCACTAAAAAAACCCAAATAGCCTTCATGTATGCTTCACGCACACTCGTTTTCTTCATTAGTTTGAGTCGTTCAATGCCATTTTTAAAAAGAAAACCACAAACCTTTTCATAATTATGCTGTGCTATTTAGAAGGAGTTGATGATCATCACTAGCACTTGCACGCTTCCGAAATTGCACAGATCTATAAAACTGTTGCACTTGATCCTTCATGTATACCTAGCTTGTCATCTTGATGAGGTAAAGACCATTGCCCTCCAGGTTCATATCTTCGCAACAATTTGCAAGCAAAATGTTTTCCTATTAAAAAAACTGCAATCAAGATTTAAAAGAGTGAGAAGAAAAAAAGAAAACAGAAGAAGAAGACACGTTTAAGGAGTCAGCGGTAGGGGTGTAAAACAATCTGAATATATTCGGACCGACCGCAACCGTATCCATTTAGAAAGCGGATATAGTAGGAAAAGATTGCAACCATCCGGATACGGTTTCGGTTTGGTTTTAGTTTTGGGTTTTCGAATACGGTATTCGGGTCAATTTTGCGGATACGGTCCGGATATCCAGATGTGTATAACTCAGCTAATTTTTATACTTGGATGTTGGGTCGGGTCGTTATATATACAACCCGTCTTATCCTCTACCCGACCCGATTTAAATTAAATGAAAATTCTCCCGATGGCAGAGATCAACGTCCTCCGCTCTTCTTCTGCCCTAAAATTGACCATCTTATTAAAGCCTCCGCCTTCGACTTCCGCCTTCGACCTCAGCCGTCTCTATTCAAGCCTCCGCCTTTGAACTCCGCCCTCCGCCGTCTCCAAGCCACCGCCTTCGACTTCAGTCGTCTCCAAGGCTCTGCTTTCGACCGACTTCAAGCCTCCGCCTTCAAGCTCGACCGACCATCAACAGCGACCTCCGAAAATTCTCCTCCTCGGTTTCTTCTAACACTAAGGTGAATTCGAAACTCTAATTGGTTGAATGAAAAGACCTAATCTGTATGATAAAAAATCCTAATTTGCTAGCCCTTGGTTGAGTGGAAAGCCCTAGTTTATTTGATAAAAAGCCCTAATTTGCTATCCTTTATTGACTGAAAACTGAAAATACCTAGTTTGTTTGACAAATGATTTAGCTTAAAATTTTGTGAAGTTCTAGAGCACATGCACCTTGAATTAAAGTAGTAAGTTATAAGCTAAAACTTGCTTCGGAATTAGGAACTACAAGCTACTAAAATTAGTGCTCAAAAATTTCAACTGATACCTAAGTGCCAATTCCACCCCCATTCCCAATACCCACATACACACAAATAAATAGAGAATGCACATTGATGTGTAACTGTAATTTTGTAATGTCAATTTTTGAAAATTATAAACCACGAGAGAGTGCATATCTGAATCTGTGTAGCAATGTTCTGGATTTTGTTGCTTGCAAGTATATTATTTTAGTTATTTGCGAGTTATTAAAATTATATATATATTTTTGTCATACCCTATTCATATCCGTTTCCCAAATATCCGATTAATATCTGTATCATATCCGTATCCGACTCTCTAATATCCGAACCGTAATCGTTTCCGTTTAGTACGGATATGATAATGCCTTTTTCTAACCGATGAATATCCGAACCGTATCCATATCCATTTTCAAAAAATTGGATATGGATATGATAAGTGTCATATTCGAACCGTATTAGAGCCAAATGCACTCCTAGTTGGGGGACAAATTTAAGAATACATCTAATTAGGCTTAATAGCGGAAAAATTAACTTATTTCTCTCCATCTCTTTCTCTCTCCTTTCTCTCAAAGCTCAAATTCCCTAAAACCCTAAATCCTAGATCTTCGTCCAAATCCTAAATCTGAGAGCCCTTGCTCAGACCCGCCGCCGTCGCCTGACCTCCGACCGATCCGCCGCCGCCCGGACCACTGTCCAGACCCACTGCCGCCCATTCCTCTTCCTCTCCCCAACTTCTCACCTATTAGCAAGTAAGGTTTTAAATATCGGATATCGGGAAAATATCGGATGGCCAAAATTCATATCGGATTGCGGATATCGGGGAAATATTAAGGATATGTGGTAAATATCGGAATGCCATAATGAATGTTTGCATACATAGTATAATGCATTAAAATGTAATCTCAACATATGTAATGAAATTTAAGCATACAAAATATGAATAATATATGTTTAGGATCACTAATCAACCTTCTAAAATAAACATAAGTGCAAAGCAACGTTGCAACATTCGATCTGCTTTTTTTAGGGCAAAATGTCATTTGATATAATAGGAAAATCTTGATATCTCGCCCAAAAATTCCAAACGCGGTATATTCTTTTGCAACAAGCTATATTGGTCCACATATCGGCTAATATATCGGCCATATCGGGGATTTATCACTCAAAATAGCAAAAAAACGATAAAGGATATTTAAAGACCATATCGGTTGCGGCAAGCTCTGTAAAATGATATAACGGGGGATATATCGGGTCATGTCGGGGATATTTAAAACAATGTTAGCAAGTGAGTTAAATTTTCTTTTGAGTCGTGTTTTTCAATGGTTAATATTAATATTGTTTTGTTTAACTACCAGTTCAAAAATTTAAATATATCAAGGATATGCAATAAATTGGTTTTGTTTATCAAATAGTTTCTTCAATTTTACTAAAAATTGAAATATATTAAAGTATAAAAGTTATTTATGGTTAATGGATTGTTATTTATTTTGAGAATGAGTCATGTAAAAATTAGACATTGTAGATTGTAATTTGTGAGAATGGTAACTAATTATAAATAAAGAATAATTGTTAATTAATTGTAATAATAGTTTGATATTGGCAATCTGGAATAACTTTTTTTAGTGATTGGAAAAATTTGGAAAACCGATTGTCTAATTTCTTTTATACGTCATTTTTTTTGTAAAACTGATTGTCTAAATTCTTTATATGTCTGTTGCTATATATTTTTATAACAATCTTCAAATAATTATGTAGTGCATACTAAGTGTTTATTTTTATGAATCTGATTAACAACTATACCAAGTGTAAAACTGATTTTGTAGTGAATTTTGATTAACAACTATATTGTATATATCTTTTGATTTCATTAATGGAAGCAAATTATAACTAAAAATACTCACTTTTGTGTATAACTAAAAATGCTCACTTTTGTTTATCTATCACATTACAAGAAAAATATGATGCAATGAAATTAATATAATGTATTGACTCCTGAGAGCATTCCCATCGGATACTATTGTTTTTTATTTTTAGATAAATAGATATTTGTTGTTCATCTCCCTAGGAAAAAAATTTCTGGATCTGCCAGTGCTTAAAACAATCCCTAGTAATAACTAGATAGAAAACTTTAAAAACATAAGTAGATAACAAACTTAAAAAACCCAAAAGAATCCCGATTCTAGTGGAGACTTTTCCCTTGCGTTCTAAAAAAGAAAAAAAGAAAAAAATAGTACCAACTTTCACCAATCACCTATTATTGCGGCTGCTCACTACTCTTTGCGTTGCCCCTCATTCTCTTCGCCTCCTCCCAATCATCCTCCGCTGCTTCTCTACTTCCTCTGCCAAATCCCTATACTGAAATCAGCACATTGAGGGAAAAATTTTGAACTAAAATCTTACTTTTCATTTTTGTTGTACTTGAAGTAAATATTTTAAAGTGAAATCATAATCTTGAAGATCTTGGTGTTTTGCTTTCAGACCCTCATCAAGTGAAGAGATAAATCCTAATGGGTAAACAACTTGCAAAGAAAAGAGGTATCTTTTCAAAGCCCCTCCAAAAAATCCATCTTTTTTGTTCCCTATGTCTCTGAGTTTGTTCAAAGATTGAAATTTTCCTTTCTTAGCAGTAAAGAGGTCCAACCCCCTGGCCCAGGTTGAAGACACAAAGAAGAGATTGAGGAAGAAGAGCAATGATTTAGAAATTCAGACTGCACTCCCAAGTTCTGCAGGTCTTGTGCTTAAAAATATTTTCTGAAACTTTATTGAGTTTTTCTTGAAGAAATTTGTTCTATTTTAATGCAATCAGGTAGCCTTTCTTCAGACGAAGAGGATGTGCACAATGAACAAGTAGCATTTGACTGCTTGTTAAACCAGTTGGGATCACGTAGTGACAAGATGACTAGCTTGTATAAGAGGAGGTTAAGTCTCTTGCTTTTAAAAGAATGCGATCTATTAACTTTTGTTTCTCTTTCATGACTAGCTTTTGCGAGTAGTTGCTAGTTTCTAATTAGTCTATCATGTTTGTTACATATAACATGATATTCACAATGGTAAATCACTTGTCCTTGATTCCTTTCCTGCATAGGAAAGAAACTAACACATAAATTTGTAAATATAAAGTTCTATAATGCATAAATTTGTAAATACCAACTTCTGTTGCTGTCAAACTCATCAAGCTTAATTTTGTAATTATACGTTTCTTAACACTAAACTTTTTCAGAGATGCTGATTTTCAGTTATCTGAAAGCAACGATGGACATGGTTTCTGCATATACATAACTGATAGCACTCGCTGAAAATTTCTTCTGCAGATAAAATTTTGTAGTTGTGACCTAAGGAAAGATTATAATTCAGCAAAGCTTTGATTTTAACTACCAAATAAACTTGATCGATTTGAAGTTTACCATATCAAAAGATACTGATATTTCCCGATACTAATGATCATCCAAATGGGGCCCTAGTTACAATGTGAGATGCAAATCACAGTTTGCACCAATGCTGATATCGGAATCAAAGATGCAAATCACTCCATGAGTCTGTATTGACTTGTATTGACTTCTATAGCATTCCTACAGAGAAAAGAGAAAAGGAAGACATACACATACCAAGCATGTGAAATATACAACAACTGAAAAGCATTATAAGTTTGAAGAACACATTGTCAAAACTGATTTTTCAAATAAAGGCATAAATTCATTAGAAACTTTGAAATACAATCTCACAATGTATTTGTAGTACCTTCTGCATTTTCAGAAGATCATTGGCATCATTGCATTTGATTATTGGGTCCAAAAATCCAGACGTTGGAGTATTTGAGTAATCCTTCCTCCTGTTTGTACATTGCTATAGTTCATTCCTTTCCACTCAGCGTATGCCACCATTATCTTCTAATTATTCACCTCCGGAAACCGATTGAAGATTCAATAAAGTACTTGCAAACTGAATTCTGTGTACTTACCTCATTTCTTCCCTTCTATATTATTAATCACATCTTTTCCTTAAACTAAATGTTCACACGTTGGATTATTCTTGGCTTCTATTTATATACATTGTTCATTCTACTCATTAATTAGAAGCCACTGATTGAAGCATTAATAGCCTTACAGTGCCTGTATAACTCCTGTTCTGTGTCTTCCCTCATCAAAAGCCAGAGACTAGGAATACTTACAAGAAGCATGCACAGTTTAAAATAAATTTACAATGACGACTAGAAGTTATAAAAGGAAAATTGTAATGTGTATAGACAACAAAAATATTTCTGTATAGACAACAAAAATATTTCTTACCTGTAACGAAAATCGATTATTATATTTGCATCATCAAAACTCTTCCTGATCCATCTAACTTCTTTGTAGACATCTATGAGGAGTAAAGTCCATACCATGAGCCTCACTCTTTGATTAAAGCACCAACTACATTAGATTTTTGGAACATTAACGGTCAGGTATTCCTGAGCGTTTCCAGGACCTATCACTGAATCACTATAGAGAATAGGTGTCAGTATAGATTTCTGTTTATCATTGATCCACTCTTCAAAAATGTTCCATGTAATTCCTGTTTAGACAAGTGGAAGCAACAAAATCAATAAAAACATATGTTCTTGATGTCAGTACTTATGCCTGACATTTGTGTAATCCTGATAAAACCCATGTTTCCTTTATTTCTTTTATATTCATCAAAATCAGCCTTGAGTTCTGCCAATTTAGTAACAGAAGTCAAATAAGTGGGATATTTACATCCAACATTGTACTTTGCAATATCTTTTTCCACTTGAGTAAATGATGAATTGAAAAAAATTAAAAGAAAATTTTCTATTCCCTTTCTTTGAATTTATCCAAGCCAAGGCACGACTCAATATCCTTTTTACTCCACACATCTACTTGTTAGATTGGATTTCTGTTGGATATGCAAATGAACTTTCAAGGCACCCTTTCTTTTCTTCTAAGGCTGTTTATTCTCACCTAGTTCACCTGTTGCAAGCTTTTCTTTTACTTGGAATTCATAAATGTGCTGTGTTTACTTATTTTCTACTTTTCTAGTTAATTGGCATTTACACAAGAAATTCTCCTTTTTATAGGACTTACAAAGCAAATGATCCTTTTCCAATTCCTCGACTTATTCCTACGAAGGATCTTTCTTTCATGAAACGTACGCTTCTGCAGCTTTCACATACTAAGTTAAAAAAAAGTTGAGCAATAAAGGCATACATTATGAGCGAAGTCTATTTTATTGGAAACAAATCAAACAGTAATTCGTGATTTCTTCCCAACAATTTGTTAATGACATTTGCAGGCACTTTGCTAATATAATTCAATAATAATAAACTGCACGCTACACTAAAAAATCATAAGCCGAAAACAAACAAAGCTTGAAGTACTACAACCTACTGAGCTTATCAACCAAAGCCCTGAACGTGAAGCCAAGAAGGATGAAACCAAGTTTCATTTGCAAGAAGTGTGTCATCCAGAGAAAGACACTAGGGGTTTATTGGTTCCTATGGTTTAAATCAGAAAGGGCAAAACAGGAAAAAGATAAGGGAAAATTACCATCATCCAAGTTCCTTGAGACCCTTTACAGGTCATCAAGGGCTCTGGAGTCACGATTCTGGATGTTGGTGGGCTATTGGTAGCAGAAGATGGTAGAAGGACAAATGTGAGAATCACAAAGAATATCAGGTGGTGGTTAAATTATTTGATTTGGGAAATTAAATTTCATTCCTAGAAATACAACAGTTTTTAATCAGTTGTGACACAAAAGAAGAGGTAAATTTAGAAGCTGATAATTTTTGGATTTGTTTACGATATTGGCCTTCGATTTTATCTTTTATTGAAAAGTTTGGTGTTTTACGTGTTATGTTCATTGACTTTGTTGATCGCACAATATCCATCTTCAGTATTACCCATTACCATAATATACTGTTTTTTGTGCAGTTTTTGAAATTCTAACATATTTTTCTTTTCAGTTTATTGTAGGAATATTCTTTATTATAAATAAAGATATTTGATAATCCATTTATGTGTTATTCCCTATAATTCAATTATGTAGTGTATCCTATTATGTGTTATGTGCTGCCCGGTAACACATCTCATTCCCAATTATAATACTTTTCTGGTATCAATATATTTCATTAACTATGGGTATTTTTACTTGAATATCATTTTGTATCTAGTGAATATTTTGTACTTTACAGACGAAGGGAGCAAAAAGGCTTGGAGGAAGATGAAGAAGATGAAGAAGATGGTGATGAATATTCTATGTTTGACGGGGAAAATGGTGGTGAGGAAGGTAAAACCTATTTGAATGTTTTAGATCAAAAACATTTTCGTTGCTTAGTTTCAACATTCATGTCTGTTTAGAAGTGTGTGTTTGTTTTAGATGAATGGTTCAAGAAGCCGATAACACCAACCATTTGAACACCTGACCAAATATTGATTTTAGATTTTTTTTTTGAGTTTGTTTCTTGCAGTTGCACCACGCATCTAGTTAATTTCTGCTCCTTACATACCTTAACATGACATGCAAGTTGCAAGATCTCCCAATGAAGTGCTCTGTACTGACATAAAAAGGCTATATATGTTGTAGGTTTTATTGAGCTGTAACATTAATAGTTCCCTTGATGATCACGAACTGTCTGGATCTTGATGATATAAAGAAAAAGGCGAGGAATTTTTTTAACCTTGCTAAAGGACATTATTTCACGGGGTTACTGATTTCACAATTCAATTTTCTACTCTTTTAATTGTGTTATTAAAATTACTTTATATAGAATTTAATTGCTTTATCTAGTATATCTGTGTCATCAGATAGTGAAGTGCAAGTAACTATCTCTGTCATAGTTTGGTTGTTTTGGGTTCTTACATTGGGCCAGTCTCAATCAAATTGAGCCAGTTTCGTAATTAATAGTAGCTAACTTTAAGGAAATAACTTGAGGGTTAACGATGTTTAGATGACATTCTACAGGACTGCGTTAAGGATAATTTTGGAATTTCTTAGGTATTTCAAAATGTTTTATTAAAGTGATCATGGTATTGGTCACGTCCCTTATCTTCTCTCAGTCATAATGTCGATGTAATAACTAGCACTAATTTTGCTAAGTTAAGGAGCTTACTAACTCCGAGTTTCTTAGGTCCAAATATGCGTTTTGTAAATGCAGGGTAAAAGTCTAGATTTCTATTTGAAGTACAACAGTATAAGTGTAATTGGATGAAGTCATCATCATCATTGTCACCATCATCATTATTAAAGCAACAACAGCAGAGCTTTATACCAAATATTTGGATCAACTACTTGAATCCTTTTTCTCCATTCACCTATGTTAAATGCTATGCTAACCTCTGACTTCCTGCATCTGCAGCAGTGTTGTAAAAAGTGGCCTAGGTACCAGCCTAGGTGTAGGTGGCCTTCTAGCTGCCTAATCTCGGCCTGAGCGGCCAAGCTAGGCAGTGGAGCCGCCTAGGCGCCACCTAGGGCTAGGCGGCCTGCATAGCTTTTTAAGCAAAAAAAAAAAGCCTAACCCAAGCCAACTCAGAACCGAATTAAAAATTTTTTTTAAACAAAAACCGAACCCACAAACCTATACCCGACCTGCTAATCTACGAAACCCAAATCAAAATCCTAATTTTCTCGTTCATGCTCTGCGATCTTTCCCTAAAGCCAATCTAAAATCTCTCTCTCCCTTCCCCGATCACCTTCTCGTTGCAGACCATCGACCACCACAACCACCATCTTTTCCCTTCTATTATCCCTAGCTCACCCCTTCTCTTTGACGCCACAATTACAGCCACAATTGCGTTCACCTCCTCTTCGACAGCAGCCGCCACCTCTTCTCTTCGATGCCATCACGGACACAACCAGCCACCACCTCAACCACCTCCTCTTCTCTTGGAGACATCTTCTTGAAGGTAAATTTTTAATGTTCTTGTCAATTATTATAATTAAATAATAAAAATAAGAAAAGGAGACTAAAAAATAGAATAGGAGGAGAGCACTTCTTTTTCTTTTTCACATTTTGGAATTGGAAAAAATTCATTGATTTTTGGAAACTATAATCGAGCCCACTGGGATAGCTACAAGTTGCTTAACTGGGGAAATAAAGAAAAAAAAGAAGACAAACAGACTTTAAAATGTTAATCTTGAGTTAAATCACTCATTACAAGAAACTATAGTTAAGAAAAGTCTAAAGCTAGATGGACATTAAAAAATGCCACTCCGAAGGTACTTTGGCCCAACCACCAATTTTCGTATTGGCAAATTGATGGACACTAAAAAGTCTCTCCAGATGTACTTGGCCCAACCACCAATTTCGTGTTGGCAAATGGATGGATCTGGTCCAATACTATATCAACCCATATGTGAATGACCCAATTCCTCCAAATCTAATTCTCACCCCTTTGCTCTCAGTTTTCATCTCTGTATTTTCTGCTGTCTGCTTCTGTTTAGCATTGATCCGGATTCCAATCCCCTCTTTTTCCTGCCACCCTTGCAGTTAATTCTCTGCTGCCTAACCCCCTATATCTCACCTGTGGAAACAAGAGCGTCTCCCTTTTGGTGACAACTTTAACCAACAACGTGATGATCGCTGTCAGGGCTCATGGTTAGGATTTTTGATTGGGTTTCAGTTGAAAATGGATTTGGAGTTGTTACTTGTTATTAAGTTCTGAGAGGGAGGGTGACAATACAAAAGAGATGTGTTCTTCAAAACAAAAATTTCATAGAGTTTCTCCTTTCATCCGTTTAACCTAAAATCTGGGCCTTTTTACTATTTTTCCTAGCACCAAATTGAAATTAAAACTCTTTTTAAGTAAATTGATGTATAACTTCGCCGAATCACGCTATTAATAAGACAAACCTTGCAGTTATTTATTTTTGGTGCTATCAACTATGATTATGTAGTCCCATTGGTTTCTGATCATGTGCTTATGTCATTTCTCAAAACTTTCAGCTCCTCTTCAACCTGCCTAGTTGTAGTTTAAGTATCTATGACCAATAGCATAGCCTAGGCTTAAGGTGCTCACCTATCAGCCGACCGATCATTCCCTTTATTGGGGATGCAGCTTTTGTCTATTTTCTATATGTTGTGTTCCGATCATCATAGTGCACACCTATCTTAGCCCCATATAGCACTCTACCTAGCAAAACAGAAGAAGACTTCTTGATTGATGGTTATCTAGCAGCACAACTACCATTCCTCTCCTTCACTCTCTATCACCTATAAAGTTTTGGCAATGCTCTCTGTCTCCTTTTATTTGTAATCTCAAACCTCGATTCAGTTCCTTATTCTTTCCACTTGTAGGCTCGGACAGTGAACCTATGGATGATTCTGAAGGTGAATATCTCAGACGATGCGGGCATTCTCAAATTATGAAGCAGAGAGAGGAACATGAAACTGGAGACAAAGATGCTGCCTCTAGCGGGGATGATACAAATGGTTCTGAAAATGATAGCCATACAAATGTTGATGAAATAGCTAGCATATGGTTGGTATTTTTTTTCCTCTGTGCTTGACATTTTGTATATATCTAAGTCAATGTGAAACTACTGTTAGAGGCAAAATCAGTGACTAGGTTATTGCTTCAGGCTTGACATTCATGCTTGTTATTCTTTATTTCACTTTTATCCCTTAAATTGTGCATCTTCACTAGTGGTTTGGAAAAGATTAGCACATGCATAAAAAAATATATATCACATGGCTTTCTGAAGGTCGTTTTCTCCTATATTTTCAGGCTTGACATGCATTCTTGTTATACTTGATTTCAATTGTATCACATCTAATTAACATATATCCTAGGGGTTTGGCAAAGATTAGCATATGCATCTAACTGATCCTTCATGCATTATCCTTATGCACATGGCTTTCTTAAGGTCGTTATGCAATATTTTTATCCGGTGTGGTTATAAGGTACTGCTATTTGCATATATGGGAATGTGCCAATAGAGGCACTTTTTCTGGATTTGGATAAATGTTTTCCCATATTTGCTTACATTCTGTTTCTTTTGAGGTAGCATGCTATCTTCAAAGGTGATTCCATTGGTGCAACATATATGTGCACATCATCATGAACGGATGCTTCATGCATTATCCTTTAGCACGTGACTGTCTGAAGTTGATTTGATCCCATATTTTGCAGTGTAGTTATAAAATACTGCTGTTGTTTGCGTATGAAATGGAAGCAATAGTTTACATGGGGGTGTTAATTGTACCCATCTTTTTTCTGGATTCGGCTAGATCCTTGTTCATGTTTTATTATCTAATAAGGAGAATTGCTGTGTTTAAAATTGTCTTGAAAAGTAGAAGGGTCAATCTTTTGTTGCTTGGATTCATACTTCTAGACGTGAAGGAACTGATAACTTTGAAAAGTAGAAGGGTCAATCTTTTGTTGCTTGGATTCATACTTCTAGACGTGAAGGAACTGATAACTTCCGATAATAGAATCCTAGAAGTCATATTCTTGATAGAACAGGTGCTGTTGATGTTGCTGAAAAAGTTGAGCATTTCAATTTTCTTAACCCTAATTTTAGTTTGTGGTAGTTGATAAGATTATACCGTAAGCTCTGTACCATGTTAAATTTATACACTGTCATATATGAGCAGATAACCAAGTACTAGTCTAATATGGAACATTGGTTATTTGTTAATATATATATTGTCATGATACTAGGTAAAGTATGCCAGAGTTCTTTAACAAGTGCCATGCTAGCTTTACCATCACTGCTTTGTTGAGTATTTGTTTTGGTTTCTTACAAGGGTTGGCATGTGTTGAACATTTTTATTGTGGACCACTATTTATCCTGTATATATCGTTCATGTGTGGATGGAAGAATTAATTTTGTTTTCACATTTTCTATCTGTTTTGTCTATCTTATATTTAATTCTTGGTTCTGAATGACTTCATGCAGCTCTTTCCATCGTCACCTGGAGGACATTCTAACAGATGAACATGCTGATGAGTTGACAAAATCTATATGGAAATATAAGTGGGAAATGCCTGCAACTGGCAGATCAATGTCGAAGTGGATGGGAACAGGCGAACGCTTGTCAATGGTACCTTTCCAATCATGCAGTCATAAAAAAATTGCGTTGTTGTCTTTTCTTGACTTCATTGACAGTAGTATCATTAATTCGTTAAATTAGGTAGTGTTTTGATACTGTGGTGGTTTCATTGTTTCCATTGTGTTTTTGCCAAAAACAAAACACCATGCGTTTGGAAACCATTGTCTTTTTTGAGCTAAAAACTCCTCAAACCAAAAACACAACACTTACTTCAAAACACCTTTTCAAAACACATGCCAATCCTTGTATAATAAATGTAATATAGTACATAAATATTAATATATTATATAATAAATAATATAATATAATATACAATAAAGGAATTTATCATATAATACAATAATATATTGGTAACAAATGTTAATGTAATAATAATGTATTCATAATATAATAATAATATATATATTTATAAAATGGTATATAAGAGAAATATATCTAAAATAAAATAATAAAATAATAAGTATATGTTATATAGGTTACATTATATAATAAATGTAATATAGTACATAAAATATTAATATATTATATAATAAATAATATAATATATTATAAAGTAAAATAATTTGTCATATTAAAATCTATAATATATTTTACTATATTAAAGTAAAAAGGATATATTAATTAATTTATAATAAAAAATAAAAAATAAAAAATAAATTGCTATTATGATGCATTGTAATATAATATATTATTATATATTTAAAACTAATGGTAATATAATAATGTAAAATAGATATTATAATATTTTAATTTTAATGTATTCTATTATAATTAATATTTAATAGTATGTTTAATATAATATATTAATTTGTTAATAATATACAAATAAAAAATAAATTGCTATTATAATGTATGATAATATAACGTATTGTATTATATTTAAAACTAATAATAATTTAATAATGTAAAATAAATATTATAATATTTTAATTTTAATGTATTCTATTATAATTAATATTAAATAGTATATTTAATACTAATGTTTTAGGTCAAACTAGTGTTGACCAAAAACACTCACCATTATGTTTTGCAAATCTTTTGAGGGAGAGACACAACACCGTGGTGTTTTTTTTAGAAAAACACAAGAAGGAAATCACCATGGTAGCAAAACGAAGCCTTAGTTATGCTATATCTCAATTCTCTCGTATTTTGAAAAATATGTTGTATCTACTCTATTTCTCTAGCCTTTTTTCTCTATTTTCTCAATGGTATTGCTTTTTCCTCTATTTTCTCTTATCCTTAGTCCTGAAGGTGTAGTTCACATGGTTTGCGATCTATTATTTAGCGAATTTTGTAGTTCACATGGTTTGCGATCTATTATTTATCGAAATTTTTTTATTGTACCTCTTAATGCGTATGTCTTGCACACACCTGTATACATTGATTTATAGTCAAGCTCTTTTCCTTCAGCTTTACAATTGTTTCCCATTATCTTTTTTTTAAAGAGGTCTATTTAACTTCTAAATGAAATGAAACATTAATTCTTCCTCTCAGTCATGCTTTTTCTTTCTTTCTTTATTTTTTCCTTTCTCTAAAGGATCTAGGATCATATCTTCTAATCATTCTTCACTTCTGCAGTGACTACTATGCATTATCTCAAAATTGGCATCTTTTCTACATGACATTTTTTTGTTTCCGATCATATAGTTTCAGTCATCCTTATTTTGTTGAAAGTACCATTTATTTCTTATCATCCTGCTTGGGGTTGCATAAACAAGCAAAATATCTGTCTATTCTTAACAAAACATACTTTATTACATCCTGGGATCCATGAACGTGTTAAATACTTTTGTTTCTTCTTCTACGTAAGCGTTATTACATTCCATTTCTATTTCATTTTCATCTATCGTATTTGTATTAAAGATTTTATTATCGCTGTGTTCCTTTTAAGTCTATTTCTTATTTACCAGGATTATATATCATATTCTTAATATCTCTGAGTTTCTTACTTGTTCTCTTAATTTTTATCAGCTTCATCTCTGTTCCTGTAGTATCCTGTATTTCCATTAGCTAATCTCGAAATATTAATGTGCTAGCTTTAGTAGCCTCTTCATTACAAAATATTGTATCATTGACACCCTACTTTGATCCATGGTAATTATGCTGCTTTTGGTCGACAACCTAACATACTTTATCACTGTTGCAATAATGACAGTATATTTTATCACTTTATCCTGGCTAGTACCAGGCCTTGTGCAAGGCGCAAAATTGGTCATAGCGCATGCAGAGATATTAAAAACTAGCGTAGTAATCATTCTGTATTTCTATATTCTGGGGCAATGCTATTTGACTCACATAAATTAAATCAATTTTGTCCTTGTAGGAAGTTAGCAGTGACTCGGTGTATGGGGTCAAGCAAAAACTCTACAAGCATTGGCTAGACATCTTCAAGGCATCTGCTTTTGCTGATTTAGATCCTCAGTTGAGATTCTTCTTTTCACTTTGTAAACGCTCTTGCCTTGGCCTCCGTGTCATTTTTGTTTACACAAATGATCTGTTTATCACTGACCTTTTCTGAAGTTGCATGTATACTGAATTAGGTTGCTTCGAAAATTGTATTTGCACCATTAATTCTTTTTGAGACTCTGGAGTTTTGATATCAAACAAATTTATGTTATTGTATTTTATAGTGATGTCACAACTCACAACTTTTTGACACTTCCGGCAAATTTTCAACAGACATTCATGCCTGGCAAAATCCATTTTTAACACTCAATCCAGTAGTGTAATGGATCAAATGTTTCAGACACATGTCTCTTTTCTTCACTGCATGGTCTTAGATAGTTCAGAGCTAGGCTTTCCCAACATGATAAATTTGCTAAGTCTTGAAGGAAAGTACAAGAAAGTAGAGGAGTGAAGAGAGTAAAGAATGATCGAAAGAAGTAATTTGTTTATGAGAAGAGTGGAGTGAAGAGAATAAGGAGATGTAAAGTACATTTGCTCGTCAATAAAAGGAGGGAAAAGTTTGGCCCTTGGTAGAAATGAAATGAGAAAAAGACTAGTAGTCAACATCTAAAAAATGGATTAAGTTCTCTGTTTTTTCTTTAAAATTCGATAGCAATGTATAATGGAAAAAAAGAGAGAAGATAATAGGACTAGAAATAATTTTTGATATCTGCAATGAGAGGGTGAGAGGAAAGTTAAGTATGGAGGTGTGAGGAGATGCAAATGCGTCTAGGAGTTGCCCACAAGGGTGCAATAAAGTTTTATTACACGGGTGCTTCAAAGCTTTTGTCAAGAAGTTGTAGCCAGCTCCCAACATTAATGCAAGTTGGTAGTCTGTTATTAAACGTAGTGAATCTTTTCATGGAGCTCTTATTTATGTTGAGTTGGTCTTCGTAGCTGTTCACACGAGGGCTTGGATGGTGCTAATGTGGGCTATATCTGTGACAGTTTGAGTTTCATTAATGGTAGATCCTTATTCTTTTATTGCTTCACATTTCTTGTCATCCTGTTTTGCACTGTTAGCAAATTTACCTTGGAAGCTTACACAATGCCTCCTATTTCTTGTGGCCCAATATTTATACCTACATTGTTTGACAAAGGTTTTAAGAGAGAAAATGCCCAACCAGACTGTGATCTCAGTAATCTGAAGGATTATAATTGCTGCTAGTTAAAGGAATTAGTTTATGTTCCTTGGTGGAAAGATAAATCATATGTTCCATTGCCAACCGAAATCAGAGGGATCAGGACTTGCTTATGCCTTCGCTTAACATGTTGCAACATATATTGCATAATCACCTATTATCTTCAATTCATATTATTTTCGTTAATTTTATCCTTGTTTTGATATCTTGTATGTTAGAAAGGTATATAATATTTATGTTGGTGGTATTTCCTGTATAAAATGTAAAATTGTCTTATTTGCTTGTTCTACATTTGGCAGGCCATAGCTATCGTGATATAATGCATTGTAACAAGAAGCCATTTTATCTTAAAGGTGAGGAGGATTCAGTTATCATGGACGCGTACCTTATGCATGCTGTAAGTTCAATTTCTTTCCATTTCTTATAATAGAAAGTTATTCCAGAATTGTTTATCAAAGTAAGTGTGTGATTTCTGATTTTAAAACATTTCAATCCTTTTTTCCCAGTTAGATCATGTTTTTAAGACAAGGGATCTTGTGAGCAAGAATAATGCAAAAATTAGCACAGATCCAGATGGTAAAATGGAGGAGATTCTTAGTGCAAGCAATTTCCTTGATCATGGTTTTACACGTCCCAAGGTGATGAAAACTCTACCTTATTACATGATAGTGTGCTGTTATGGAAGTGCTGGCTAAGTATTTAGACTCAAAATCTTTTTCCTGAAGCTGCAAGTCCTGTTTACTGTTTAAATAGGTGTAAATGATGCTATTTGAGGTATTTTTGAGGAAAAATCACCTTGAGTAGCACATGTAAGTTGTAGTTGGACTATGAGGTGTGTGCTTCAGCATAAATACTGCAAATGAAGTGTATTCCTCGCATTTCTTTGCCGGAGGCTTTTTTAGCAATTGGAAATGGTTGGATAAACATCTGTCATGTTAAAGCTTAGAAAGAATAGTGTAGAATTCCCAATATAACTTGAACATTTGCTAGAGTAAAGGTCTCTAGGATAGAGTCTACGTATTGTCCTATCTTTTTATTTTTAAAATTTTCGTTATCTTATATGTGCATGTAGAAGGACGCTTCCACTACACCACACAAAAACTCTGAAAGGTGAAGGTTGAGGGTTATAGTTTACACTCTTATATGCCTCCGCAGTTGATTGCACTTTTCATAGGGCTGAAACCTGGAGTTACGCAGTGATGCCTTTTCTCTGGTCTGCGTTAAGTTTGTGGACGGTGGGGTTTGAACGTGGGTTGTCTGATAGCCATGCCAAAAGACTCTTCAACTACACCAGAACTCTGAAGTCGTTGTGAGGGTTGAGGATCATGGTTCTATACTCTAGATTTAAAAAATAAGAAATTGATGATAATAAAAATTGTTAGGCTATGCCTTGCTTCATGAGAGGGTTTAAAGATTCACCTTGCAACTTTGTCTTTTTAAATGCTGATTCTGTTATGTAAGTAAATCAGAAAGAGTTAATTGTTTTTGTACCGAGTAGAGAGAACACATACTTAACAGGATTTCATCAGAGGCTATTCTAAACTTCTCTGTTTATTAATAACTTGTGTAAAATCGATGACTACTTTACTGTTCTTGTATTTCTTTTTATTGCTCTGACTTTATAAAGCCTTCCTGTATTGCTGTAGCCTGTTCCAAATTCTAATATTTCTAATTTGAAACCTGCTAACTTCTGGAACTCCAATACTGATACCGTAACATACAGAATGAATTTGGGATAAACCGAGATTTCCAACTTTAGTTTACGTAATTTCATCTGTGATTGTGACATCATTCAGAACAAGCTGATGGTAGCTATAGTTCCCTAGGATTAAGTTTGGGGTGCAGGCTTTGTTTCAATTACAGTTGGTCATTTCATTAGACAACTTAACTATGGTCGCTCATTTTATTAGAAGCTGTAACAGAATTAGCATTTATGGTGCTTAAGTGAAGTGGAAGTGGAAGGTGTTTATGAATCTGTAAAAGCATGAAACTGTTAGCCTTGGTCGACTCTGATCATGGGTTATGAGAGGGGTTTTCCAGGCCTGAACTATTCAACAGAGGCGAGCTAGCATTTGGGAGAGGCTAACTCTTTGTTTGTTACTTGTAAATGTCACATATTTTATCATGTTATGCCTGTTGTGCGTGGACTGCTTGAATGGAATGTCAATTGTGATGTATAACTGGACTGTGATTTTTACATTACATATTGACTTTTATATATAATATTTCTTATACATGATTTATCTCCTAGTTTATCATGTGTTTCTGGTAAAAATGTTGTTGTCAACTACATTGTCTTTATTCCTCTTTGCTCATTTAGCATTTTGAGTTTGGATACAAACAGGTGATGTTTTTGCTGCCACTTGGAAGCATCGCATTACATGTTGTCAAAAGGCTAATTCAACTTATTCCAACATCAAATAAAGTAAGCTTCTTATTATTTCATGTCTAATATTTGATCATTATTGTTGCAATTCTGTTTCTGATATATTTTTGGTTATTCTTCTGCTGGTCATGCTATATACTGTGGTAGCTGCTTGCATAATTGGATCCTTATATTCTTGCGGTAGTGCCCCAAATTAATGGGTTAGTTAAATCATGCTTCTAGTTTTCATACTCATGGGAGGACATCGCATAACTTGACTTAGTTTCTATATTTCTCATGTTTTACCAAAACGGTCATTATCATGATATCAACAGAGAGAAAAAATTAAAAATTCTACTGGAAGAAAGTACAGTCATAAATATGTTATGTCCTTCAGGCTGTTCTTATTATCTCAGCCAAAATATGGGTGAAGGTCTCATTTTTATACCTTCACTTAAATTCACATTGTTTTTTTTTTTTGCAGATCTCATCTCTTCATCTATAAATTTAAGCCCTATAACCCTAGGATGAGGAGGCTTGGATTTTATTTTATAAGATTTCAAATGCTGTAATTTTGTAACTGTGTTTATAGACTTCTAGATTTTTTACCATTCCAGTTCAAAGGCTGGTCAGTTTTGTGTAATATTACATAGCTTACCATCAACATTATAGTTCATGAGGTAGGACTAGGAGTATTCCTGTGGAAAATCATGTCTCATCCCTTTCAAAGTGCAACTATCACCACGGTCATAGTTCAAATTAAGCATTTATAGATTGTGGCAACAAGTATGAGATGAATTGAAGATAGAATCCTCTCGCTGGTTATTTCTTGGATAAGAGGGAGTGCATGATTGAAGTAGATGACTGGAACAAATTTAAATTTTTTGAGAAGTTCTCTCTTTAGCTTGTATCATATCCCTTAAAAAGTCCGCATATTTTGCAACTGTGAGAATGATGAAAGAAGGCTGATCTAGGATACAGCATCTCTGCAAATATAAAGTTCATATTATTCATTTGTGAATTACATCAACTTTTCAAAGAGCTTCTGATTAGTAGTGGTGACAATAACCATGAACAACCTGTAGTTATCTATTTAGGAAAATGGTTATCTCTACCCTTGAGTCAGATGCAATTTCCTGTCATACCTGATTTTAAGACCATTTGAACCATGCAAGTTGCTTTTTAGGATTATGACAAACCCTTATATTGTCCATAGGTTCCTTAACAAGGAAGTGGAGCTGATTTGTGGGGAGCTTGACTCAGGTCTACAAACAATCATAAGACAAATCAAATCTTTCATCGACCCTGGCTCCATAGACGTCTATATTCTCACAGGAAAAGCCTTAAATTATGACCATTTTTTATTTATAATTCATCCATTCTGATAAATTTTACTATTTTTCATTGACAATCTCTTTAATCAATTAATTTAATGCAGATTAAGGTTTTTTGGTCTTGGCACAGAAAAATACCTTTCGTGGTCGCTTAATATATATAGTGTAGTAGATCTTTCATTTCTTTTCTAGCTTGTGATAAACATATCTTTCTGAAGTTGATCTTTAGAATCCGTTCCCTTTGGCTTTTCGGGTGTGTTTCTCTCAAAATGCTGGGTCATTTCATTTTGTGCACCCCTTTATCATATTATAAATACAGAGATTTATATATAGCTAATAAATCAAGGCTATCATCAGATGCTTATTTTTATTATAAAACTATACTGTTCTTTACCAGCTTGTAATAAACATATCTTTCTGAAGTTGCCTTAGAATCCATCCCTTTGGCCCTTTGGAGTGTGTTTCTCTCAAATTGGTGGGTCGTTTCCTTTTGTGCACCCCTTTATTAGATTATAAATACATAGATTTATATATAGCTAATATATCAAGGCTATCATCAGATACATTTTTACTATATGCCATTATAATGGTTAATGCCATTATATTTGAATTATTAATGTATTTAGAGAGAGAGAGTGAGAAAGACAAGAGATAATTTACCTTTCTCTATTATTTATATAGAATACCACTCCAAGTCCTTATTACATAAGGAGTCTTAATTACACAGGGGACTAAATTACTTTCGAAATTAAATAATTTTCTAGATATAACCTTTCTACATAAACTAAATCATCTTGTCACTCCCCCACTAGCTTGAGCACTAAATATATGTATGTATGTGTGTGTGTGTTTATGTGTGTGTGTGTGAGAAAAATGGGTATGCTTGGTACCAAGCATAAATTTTGTGCTTGGCAGTGAGATGTCATATTCCCATCTACTCGTTCTAATTCCCAACCACTCCCCAACCCCTGTGAATATGGGTTATGTGAGAAAAATGAGTATGCTTGGTATTAAGCACAAATTTTATGCTTAACAGTGAGGTGTCGTATTCCCATCTACTCATTCTAATTCCCAATCACTCCCCAACCCATGTGAATATGGGTCCCTATTTCAATGAGTGGAGGGGAATATGCCACCTCACTGTCAAGCAAAAAACTTGTGCTTGGTACCAAGCATACTCATTTCTCTCTCTCCCTCTCCCCTCCTCTCTCTCTCTCTCTCTATATATATATCCCAACTTGTGACAATTGACAAATAAAGTCTACTCTTTTTTTCCCAAGAGGCTTTGTAAGGTGATTGGCTAACTGATTCTTTGATTATACATGTTTTGCCAAAACTAAGTTGCATGGAAACGGGTACAGTGCTGGTGTGGGTACGAGAACACGACTACATATACATAACATATACCTCCATACATATACATATATGGTATATACATGTATATGTATATGTATTTGTGTGTGTGTATATATATTGAAATTAATAATTTACATGAGGTAAATATTGTTTTCTTATTCGTATGTTATTATAATTAAACTTTGTATCACGTTTATTTTTCGTAGTTGGCACAGGAGGTTAACTGTAGAACCTATTCATATATTGAGACTGTTGATGGAGCGATATATGGATCTAGAAAAAGCTTATGATAGAGTGTCTAAAGAAATAATATGGTGGGTTTTAAAAGAGAAAAATGTATCTAGCATATATATATTGATGTGATTAAAGACATATGGTAGAGTACAACTAGGGTAAAAACAATTGACGGAGAGACTAAACCGTTTCCTATTACTATAAATTTACATCAGCCTTAAGCTCTTATCTTTTTGCATTAGTTATACACCAACTTACTAGACATTCAGGTTGAAGTCCCTTGTTGTATGTTATCAGGAGTTTTATGTAATTGTAGAATACTTATGAGACTAAAGAGAAAATTCTACAGCACGATTATAAACTAACAATGTTTTATGAATCAAAATGTTGGGCAATTGAAAAATATGTGCAAAAAGTAAGTGTAGCTCAAACAATGTTATGGAAGGCGCTAGGCGGACTAGGCGTTTGAACCAGCGCCTAGCGCCTAGACTCCTAGGCGTACGCTTAGGCGACGCCTAAGCGTTTGACTGTTTTTAAAATCATTTAATTATATTAATTGATAAAAATATGTATTAAATTCATATAAATTTGCTGAAATAGCAATCTTAGATCCACAATAAGCCATGCATACTTATATACTAAATAACTAAAATAATAACTAACAAGGTTATAGAAAGCGCTAAGAGGCCTAGGCGTCGGACCCGACGCCTAGAGCCTAGTATGTTTTTTAAATTATCATAACTAATCAAGGTTTTAAATATCGGTTATCGGGGATTTATCGGACGGCCAAAATCCTTATCGGATAGCGGAAATCGGGGATATATCGGGGATAAGTAGTATTTATCGGAGTGATATACTGGATGATGTGTATATATAATATAACAATTAAAAAATATAATCTAATCATGCTTAATGAAATATAAACATACCAAAATGTAAATCATCATGTTTAGAATCATTAACCAATTGTAGAAAGCGAAACTTGCATCATAGCCTTGAAAAAATATAATGTTAGTCAAAATGGGCCGATAATCCCGATAATCCCGATAAAAAAGTCTTACTTATCGGCCGATAAGTGCCGATAACGCCGATAAATCGCCGATAAACCTAGAAAAACGATAACTGATTAAAAATCCAATTTATCCTAGCGGAGAGCTACCAAATCCGATAACTCGGCCGATAATATCCATTATCGGCCGATATTTAAAACAGTGTAACTAATAGTATATATCAATATTATAGAAAGCTTAGATGTCGAACTGGTTCTAGGCAGATTTCTTTCTTTATTTAAATGGTGGTTGAGGAGGATTTGCTGAAGGTCGAAGAAGGTAGTGGAAGTGTTTATATTTAGAGGTTAAATGAGTTTGAAGGAGGTTGGAGGACGTGGAGGCTACAACAAAAAAATCACGATCAAAGCCTAAATGGTGCAGTCCACATAAGCATACAATATTCCTCTAAACACTCCCAAAATCTAGGTGGACAGTCTAGGTACCGCCTAGGCGCTGGGCACTAGCTAGGTGGTCTAGGTATCGCCTAGGCCTAAGCGTACGCCTAAGCAGACTAAACAGATGCTTTTTAAAACAGTGAGCTCAGATGAGAATGTTAGGATGGTCTTGTTCATATACACTAAAAGATAATATATGAACTGAGTGCGTCTATAGTAAATTAGAGGTTGCTCCTATTGAGGGTAATATGAAAAGGGAATGACCTACGGTGGCTTGGTCATGTACAACAGAAACCTCTTAGTGTACCTATTAGGAAAAATAATAATATTATGGGATAAAGAGATCTAGTGGTAGACCTAAAAGAACTTGATCAGAGCAATTAAAAAGGATATGATAATGGTTAACTTAACAGAGGAGATGACTCAGAATAGAGCAGAGTGGAAGAATATGATTCATGTAGTCGACCTCAAACATTTAGGATAAAGGCTTTGTTGTTTATGTTTCTTTTATTTTGTTTATTGTTATCGATTGTAAACTGATCCTTTTTGAACAAGATACCCAAATTATTCTTTAATCATAGTTATCAGCTGGGTATGGGTTAAAACCAACACGATCCATGTCTAACAAATTTTAAGACATGGATGTGAAGCGTAGGATTTATATCCAAGAAGTGTATGACCAGTATTATAAATTAGAACGTATATCATATAGTGGAGCACATGTCTATTTAAATGTATGCACACATTGAAGAAGTGTCCATGAAGTGTCAGTGCTGGTAAGAACACGTGTTGGGTACGGGTATGGCTTCATAATAGAAGTACCCGTGTAACATAGTGCCACAATAATGCCCCATGTTGCTTCTCACTGGGGGCTATTGTCAAATACATAGACTAAAATTTTACAAACAATTTGTAGGTTTACTGTACACTATATTTATGCCTTCAATTTCACCTTTTGCTCTTTGCTCTGTGCGGGAGAAGTCTGGAGGGGTGCTTCTTGGTTGTGTGAGACTAAATTGTATAACCAATAGACTAAATTTATGCCTTAGATTCACCTTTTGCTCTTTGCTTTGTGTGGGAGATGTTTGGAGGGGTACTCCTTTGTTGCATGAGACTAAATTGTATAACCAATAGTCAGGCTTTTGCATCTACTAACTGGGTGAACCCTCCATCATGGTTTCCAGTCTCTGGAATTTTGCATCTATCTAGAGGCTTGATGTCACTATGTCCAATTATAACTAGTCATAAATGCAGTCCAATCTTTCACGGAGAGTGATATTCCATATTTTATAGTGATGATCGGTTTTTTTTGCTCATCTATATTCCCATCTTCCGGGCATTTTTTGGTTCTAAGGTTTGTATTTTCTTTAGTTTCCTTGTACATGTCTGAGAGCGTGCTATATAAAGGTCTGTTCTTTTTGTGCAAGCTCTCTGGACTTTGTGTTGTACTCCTTGGGAAAACCATTCTACTTTGTTTATAAATCAAAATATTGTCAAGTGTTTCTATACACCATATATTTGTCTCTATATCTTCTACCAATCCGAGTCTGCTAAGCCGAAGTAACGTCAGTTCATCTGGATCCATCATCTGTCTTCCCTACTTGAATGACTCACACTGTTATGCGCTAATTAGTAGAAAATATGCGTATATAATCAGATATTTATTTCTATGCTGTTATTCTTTTATCTGACTGTCCTTTGTTGATTTGTCAGACCAATATAGAGCACATGGATCGCTTTTTGAAGGAGTTTGGAACTGATGACACTGAAGAAGAAGACAAGGATTCAAAAACTAAAAAACCTGTGAAGCCTAAAGACTTTCAACGTCTGTTTGGTGGAAACAACAATGATCACTTTATGATAGGCATAAAGATAACGAAGTAAATAAATTTTCTTTTATTAGACCTATATCAAGTTTTTGCTACTATGTGGATATGGTTTAACATCAGCATGTCGATTACAAGTTATATTTGGCAGTTCTGTATGTAATTATTCCTTTTTTGGGCAACATATCTAATTGTTCTCTCTCAAATCTATTGATTTCATAAAGAAAACTTACTGACTTATGAGTAATCATTGAGATAGATGTGGTCGATAGTGACTTCTCTCACAACCACATAGCCAATTACTTTATAATTACCTTATCTCCAAATATTAAAATCTGCTTGTATTCATGTGTTGTCAACTTTTCCCCTCATTCAGTATCATTGTTCTCTGATCAGTTTGGTGACTAGTTTTGAGTCAGTCTCAACCAAGGTTAATAATAGAAAATCTTAGTATTGATTGCTCATCTCTGATTAATGTTAAATTACTGCAACTGGCTGTGATGTTTATTGTTTCAGCCAATTTGGGTCGTTTGTTCCTTTATGATCACTTCCGTTAGATTTTGGCGGTGCTTTATTTATCAGATTTTTTTGGTTTATTAATACTTCATGTTGATGTAATGAATAAAAGTATTATCTTCTTTTAGCAGACATATAGTTGGAAGGTATGTTTTTTAAAGTAGTGACGCTAGGTACTAAATGACTGAGGATAACGACAGAAAAACCATTAGAGTGATATAACTGTAGAGGTTTGGTATTTTGGGACTTGGTTTATTGTTCAGAAGGTCAGAAAGAAGAGTTTAGGTTAGAAGGTGTTGTACCGATTGCTATTAGAAGATATGAGCGCTAACAATAGAAAATATTACAGCTTTGAAGGTGTTAGAATATGAAATTATAACCCTTAACCCTCATCACAACTTTGATGCCTTGATACGATAGAAGGGTACTTTGACATGGTAGCAGAGTAACTTATAATATTGGCCACAGATTTAAATTAGATTTCTTAGAAAGATTTATACTACTGCGTGAATCCATGTTCCACCTATAAAAAGGGTGATCAACCAGCAAGGGCATGTTATTGCAACTTCATAGTTTTGATGTAGTGGAAAAGTCCTTTGATGAAGTAATGAATTAACTGCATATTTGGTCATCTCTAGTGCTAGCAGTGATATATGGTTAACTATATGTTGAAATTACAATGTTTTCCTTCTTGTGCCTAACTTCGAGGTTTTTTTGGCAAATTTTCTCTACTGATAAGCTTGCTAATGCATGTTGAGGTAGTGGGTTGGGTTGGGTTACCTTTTCTTTTTTTTTCTTTTTTTTCTCATACCTTCCTTTTCTCCTCAAAAAGCGAAAAGTTTTATCTACTAAAAATGTCTGAAGAGTAAAGCATTTGTATTAGCATTTTAATGCAACCTTCTTTATCAATGTCGGTATGACCTTTTTCACCTTCTCTAGCGAGAAAGGACATAGGAATACAAAATCTGAAGTTGCAGACTAATTTATTGTCTCTAGTCAATATGCTGTTATCAGTTTCAACAAATGTAGCTTTTGAGAAAATAATTACTCGTAAAACTATTGTTTATTAATTGCTTGCCAGTATTATAGCTTTTATGATAATGTTTAGGTTACTATGTTGTAATTGATGGAGACTTTTCCCTTTTGTAGGAGAAGCATAAAATTCTACCATGATTTTTATTCATCAGATATCATTATAGCATCACCTCTTGGATTGATCGCTGTAAGTTCCTCTGTATAATCATTTCTTCTTCAAAAACTTGTAATACCACCATAATATTTGTTTTATGAAGTCACTTATTTGTAGCTTTGCTCCCTCGATTTGCTTTTTTGCCATTGAATTGGAAAATTGCTGAAATATTTTTGGACTAAATATCTTTTCCTGCCAAAGGATACTATCCTATATTATGTAACACCTCCTGTTACATTATTAGTCCGAAGTTGTGTTGTATCCACTATATCTTTTTTGTGGTAGACATGAGCATTACGGTTTCGTTAAGTTGCGTGGAAACAAGTACCAGCCTGCACCGGTACGAGACACAACAAAATTTTAAAATGTAGGATACGAGGACACTGCTACATGCATCTTGAAATTAATACTTTACATGAAATCATTATTGTTTCTCAATTCATGTGTTATTACTATTAAAATGTCATAGTTTTAAGTTTCTTTTATTATGTTGATCATTATAAATTGGAAATTGCACATTTTTAAACTAGATATCGAAACAACCCTCTAAAATCATAGTCTTGAATTGGTTATAGGCTGAAACAAAACCGACCATGTCTAACAAGATTCAAGAAATAGATGTGAAGCGGAGGATATATGTCTAAAAAGTGTATGACAATTGTTTAAATTAAAACATATATCATGTAATTGAATACTTGTCTAAGTAAATGTATGCTTATAGCAAAGGAGTGTCCATGATGTTTGGGTACTGATACGTGTCCGGTTTGTGTCGGGTGCGGGTATAACTTCATGATAGAAGTGCCTGGGTGTATAGGCCTCTGTTGCATTGGTACAAGTACGTATGCGGGACCCGAAAAGTTGGTAAAAGGTAGGGTATGGGGGCACATCTATATCAATATTTATATACACATTACTTATTAAATTAATAGCATGAGATCAATATATTTTTATTCATATAAAATTCCTACAACATTTTAATGTTTCTTTTATTGTGGATTATAAATTGTAAAATCGCTCTTTTTTGGACTAGACACCCAAACAACTATTAAAGTCATAGTTTAAAACCTAGCGAGTTTCAAGAAGTGAATGTGTAGGATTTACGTCTAGGAAATATTTTGCAAGTGTTCTAAATTAACCATGTATTGTTTAATTGAGTACATGTCCAAATAAACATATGCATATATGCAAGTAGTGTCTAGGAAGTTTGGGTAAAGGGTACGTGTTGAGTACGGGTACGGCCTCATGATAGAATTATCTAGGTAACATAGACTGTAACTGACATCATTATTGAAGCTAAGTATCAAAACTCAGGCTATAGATTGGAACTACATCTCTTAGTGTTGAGCAATTTTTAGGTTATAAACTTGCGATATCTCCGTAGTTAGTCGTACCATCTTAGGTTAGTCAAGTTAGAGTACAGGAAGCTTTCATTAAAGTTCCTTGGCCACTTAAAATTAAACTAAAATTGAACTTCTGATCTATACAAGCTATCTACATGTAAGACCATTTAAGTTAATGTCTTTTTTTATCCGGCTTCTATGTACTTAGGATATTACACCTTCATGGAATCAAATAAAAACTGTAGGAAAAGCGAATTCTGTAAGAATAAAAGTTAACCTCCCTACTTCAAGTATAAAATCTGATTTTCGGTCTTTGTTAAAGTTTTAACCTTCCATTGGTAAGGGTTTTAGCCTGGATAGGATAATGAACAAAAATTCTAACTTAATTACTTTCGTAAAATCTAGTTCTCTGGTAAAGTGGTAATATATCTTTTAATTCTAACTTAATTACTTTCGTAAAACCTAGTTTTCTGGTAAAGTGGTAATATATCTTTTAGTCATTAATACATCATCACTTATTCACCGGGTCAAATTTTCAACCGTAATCTGTTGAGCATCTCCTATGCCACGATATATTATATCATTTCCTTTGGTTGCAATATAGACCATCTGCATTTATGATATTCTTTCATTAGTTAATAAGCAAAGTTGTTAGATAATATTGTTGCATTCACTGTTATCCCCTATGACTCATTCATTAACAATTTCAAGTATTAATAACTATAGTTCTTCATTAAAATCCTTACTTTCATAAAGTTCACATATATTATCAACTTATTTCTCTTACTTAGTTGTTAGCACAGTTGACATTAAGCTTCATTTTCTTTGTAAAGGAAGTATAGTACAGTTACTTTCAGGGTTAGACTGACTAATTGCAACTATTAGGATATTTACGCTGCCTAAGACAGCATGCTTTTATTAAGCGTCAGATATGGATCGAGAAGAGTCTTGCTTATATCTAGTCCGTTATGCTATCTGCAGATTTTGACCTTGTTTGGATAGTTCAAAATCCTTGAATATCATTTGGGTTGAAAATGTCTTGAGATTGCACCTAATTTCCCTTGGATGAGAAGCCTTTGGATTATAATTCAAAAGGTTTGTTTGGATACAATGTATCAAGGCATTAATTTCTGTCAAAAAAATGTTTATGTAACCGAGAGAAGTTTTTAATTAGAAAAAGGAAGTCGATAATTCTTTCTTGGAATTAGGTATATGAAAACATGCAGTTAATAGCGCAATGGCGTGAACGATGGCTTTGTTTAAACATAAAATAGAAAAGAATAGATGAAAAACATATTTAATTGTTTAAGGCAGATGCTTATTTTCTGTCGGTTTTCTGCAATGTCTTATAGCTTCTTGTTCTTCCCAACCTTAGTTTGGATCATTCTTTGAAGATGGGTGAGGGTGGGTGTTGTTTTATATGACAAAGCTAAACGAAACTCCTTTTGTATATGGTGGGATTTAGCTAATTTATGTTCTTTAGCAATGTTGTATCGTAATTATAGATGAATGATGTGCTGCAGCTATTCAATTCTAATGTATTACATCTTCATTATTGATAGTCCTTATATTGATTTGTCAGAAAATTGGAGAAGCAGAGGCAGAAAAGGCAAAGGATGTTGATTATCTATCGTCAATAGAGGTAGGTCTATCATTTTTGTTTTTTATGATTGTCATACTTGTTGGTATAATTTTTGTCCTTAGTATTTTTCTTTAATGCTTCCTAAAGCACAAATAACATATTAAATGTATTTTTTAACATGCAGCTTTTGATCATTGATCATGCAGACGTGATAGCAATGCAGGTAAGGCAAAACATTTCAATATTTCATTCTTTCTTATGCTTATAGAAGTATAAATCATCGATTAATTGAATCCTTTGAAACGTTTGCAGAATTGGTCCCATTTGAATACTGTAGTTGAGCAACTGAATCATATGCCTTCTAAACAACATCAAACTGATGTCATGCGCATTAGGCAGTGGTATGGTCTCAATTCTTTTTCTTGACATATTCTGAAATCAGGATGAGGAAAGTGTTCTGGATCTGAACCAGATAAGGACACAAGTCTGAGATTGTCCTTCGTTGAACCAGATGAGTCTGAGATTGACCTTTGTTGCTTAAGCAACATCTGTTATAAAATTTTGCTGCCTAAATCCCTCTTTTCTTGACTGATTGCTGAGAGGATCATGAACTTCAAAATGTGCATATAGTACAAATTTTATTTGCAGTAAATTTAAAATACAAATTGCAGGTGTGTTATCATATTTATTAGCTTTTGTTTTTTGGTCAGGTATCTAAATGGGCTAAAATACAAATTGCAGGTGTGTTATCATATTTATTAGCTTTTGTTTTTTGGTCAGGTATCTAAATGGGCATGCACGCTTTTATCGACAAACAATATATATTTATTAGCTTTTGTTTTTTGGTCAGGTATCTAAATGGGCATGCACGCTTTTATCGACAAACAATATTGTTAGGTGCTTTTCTTAACCCAGGTATGAGCACATGTAAACTTTCTAACAATATAAGTTTAGATGGTTATATAAAATTGAAGATTGCATGTAATGATGTAACTGTGTTCAGATTTCTCTTCCGCATATATTATTCCATGAAAATGAATACATTCTCCTCCTTTCTGCTGGTCAGGAGGAGGGTTCATTCTTGGTTGTTGAGCATACACCATATGACCAATATGTAGATTGCCTGCATTAGCCAACTAAACACTCCGTGGCAAGCCTCTTTTCGCTCTTAGTTCCCTTTTGGAAGACTGACATCATGTTGACAAATGTAAAAGTTGGTTGATATTTCTGGAGTCTCCTTAATTTGAAAATTTGCTCCTTAACTGTCCCATAGTGGTATGGTGCTGAGTGAAGCTTATGTGATGTTGATAAAATTTAAAATTTGCTCCTTAACTGTCCCATAGTGGTATGGTGCTGAGTGAAGCTTATGTGATGTTGATAAAATTTACTTGTATGTTTAGGATATTTGATGTGTGGTATGGTGCTGAGTGAAGCTTATGTGATGTTGATAAAATTTACTTGTATGTTTAGGATATTTGATGCATCATGCACTTGTGAGCATGTGGGATATAAGTCTTTTAGGCTTTTGGTTTATGTTATTGTTGAACTGCAAACAATCAATGTGGTTGGCATTGTCATTGACAATCTGAGATAGGGGGAGATGATATCATTTCTATCTCTAATATATACTATAGACCATACTGAGGCAACTGCATGGGGGTGTATGTGTAAATCCTCTTCCACTTTCCTTGTTCTCGAGCAACTAATTTTCATCCAAAGTTTTAGCACGGCCTCAGAATTGTCATCTCCGTCGCACTCTTCACAGTTCACACACACACATGCACAAAATGGGGAAAAAGGAAAACAAAGGAAAAAAGAAAAGACAGCTTAAATGCATAACAAAAGTTACAAATTTGGAAAAACTTTTCGGACACCTGAGGAGGTATGATCCTTGATACGTATGGTTAGCAGAGAAATTCATGACTGTCAGCTATGGTTATGGTTATAATTTAGCACTCTAGTTTTTCATTCTTATATTTCATGGACATTTCTTCATAGTTTCTGACTGCAGTCCTTAAACAAATTTATTGTTCTTTAGTTATATACAGGTAACTGTGAGCTTATTAGCTTCTGATATATTTCTCCTAACTGCCTTTTTTTTATTTACAGATATGAATGCACTTTTCAATCGGTCCTGTATGAATTATGAGGGGAAGGTATGTTAGAACTGTGACTTTTATACTTACTGTTCTTTTATTGATTTTTGCGATTTTCTTAACAGGTTAAATTGCTGAGCGAGTATAAAGGTGTCCTTCCTAAAGTGCTACCTCAAGTGAAGCAGGTGCATTCTTTGTTCAGTTTTGTTTCTAGTAAACAGTATGAAAATGAAATTTATTTCAATCTAATCTATTTATTTAACTAAATACTTAAGGTAACATGTTCATTAATCCTGGTAGTTCCTGTTTAGGGGGAAATGTTCTTCAGAAAATATGTACGGGCTTTTTGGTAGTGGGTTGCATAGTGATGTCTCTTAGCTTTTTGATAATTCCTTAGTGTTTATAAACTAAATACTACCTTTAGGCATCTATTGTTTGTTTGTTTGTTTGTTTTTGTTTTTTGTTCAGCCATGCATGCTTTTCCGATTAAAGGGCATAAATTCTCTTTGTTATAGGTTATAAGTGTTTTTTGCATTACATTCTAAACAGGTGTATCAGCGTTTTGATGCTTCTTCAATTGTTGATGTTGATGATGCACGCCTTGATTACTTTTCTAATAAGGTCAGGTTTCTCTATTTGCTCCTAGTTTGTTGCTAATTCTAGATCATCGAATTTTGAATTAATTCATGTCTTCTAACATTTTTATAAACTAATTTTTCATTTTGTTGTCATCTATAATTTTTATATCTTTCTTTAGTTTAGTTAATACCAGATTGGAACTAAGAAATGCTTATTTTCTTGGTTATTAAGCATTATTAACTTTTGTAAATGTAAATGAGTCGAATAAAAACTCAAACACAACCAGACTGCTATGTGGATGCAGATCCTTAATTGGCAGACTGTCATACTCTGGTTGGGTTGGATTATCTTGGGTTGAAAGTTGCAATCCAAAAACTTTTTTGGCAGGTCCAGGCAACTTCACCTAATCCAAAATCATAAATTGTAATGCATATTATAATCTTGCCATTTAACCGAAGATTCTTGATCAGAGATTCTACCTGTTTTTTGTTTAATCCAGTCAAACCAGAGTTAGAAGTTGTAGACTTGGAACAAATATGATGATGTAGCAGACCAAGTTCAGCTTTGAGTTATTATCATTCAACATCAGCCTTTCTTCCCTGCCCAAACAATGTAGCCTCTCTTCTTTACAAATGATACTTTGTGTGTAACTTCATTTTCACAACTTCTATCCTTTTAAACTTCTACAGGATCCTAGCAGTCTTAAGATTTATTGATAAGAAACAGAATCCGAGATGGACATAGAGCTCACCTTGTCGCGAGAATCCTGGAAGTAATACTCAGTATCATAAATGGCGAAGAGATACAGATGCAAAATATCACTTTATAAAATCTTATCATAGAAGAGCTTTTATAATTGTTTTGAGTCCTACACTGACTGAAATTCACTGTAACTAATGATGAGAGTGTATCGCATAAGACTCAGTGAAACACTTGGGTACTTGGAAACTTCACAATAAGATAACAAAAGAAAGAAATAAATTGAGGAAGAAGAGAAGAAAGGAGGGTAAAGAGCTCACCTGGATGGGTCATGCTTACCTCATCCAGATCTTCTATCTCAAATATTTTGTGGGCACCTAATGTCCGGTCGTTGTCAGTATACTAAGGATTTTACTTGGATTATTCGGGGTTAGACTTTAGTGCACAATTTGTCTGCACAATTTGTCATAGAAAACCAGACTTTATAAATACAAATATTGACGGGTAGATTACAGTAAAGCCTTTTGCATCTATACCTTGTTTCTCAAGAAGTCCCTTCTTTTCTAACAAAAACCCACAAATCTATTCTCAGTTATGAAAATTGCTACTTTTTAACAGATTTGGGGTAGATTTTAAGTGCAAGTGGCGATTTAAAATTTGAATTTCACAAATGCCCTTTATATTTGTTAATGAATATATAATGAAGATCTATGATTTTATAATTATATTAAGAATAATATATTACGAATATGTGGTTGAAAGATATTAGGGATGTGATTTAGAGAATAAAGGAATATCCTAAGAATATGTTTAGTATATTTCTAATAATATGTAACATGTGTTTATTTGCTCCTAATATAAATATAAGAGATCAACAGAGCTCTAGATAAAGTCTATGGTTAACATGGTATTAGAGTCATGTAAACTCTAGCCTCCACAAAGCTCTAGATCTTTACAAACCCTAGCCACCCAATATCTCACCATCTCCCTCTACCGTACAACCTCCCTTCTTTCCTTTGCCCAGTTACTATAACAGTGCCGCAGATTCTTGTCCATCCTGTTTTCGATGGCCTTGTTGATGATCAGAATTGTATTATTAATAATAATAGTCTTTTTTGATGTATATATTATTGTCACTGCCTGTGCTACCTCAATTTCCCTTCGTTAACCACCTGCTCAACTTGTGGACACCACCATCACCGCAACTTGTATTCTGGAAACCTTGACCATAGGTAAAGAGTTTGTTTGGTTATTTGTTAAGAGGATTGTTTGTTTGGTTGATCCTTTAAGAGAACCGTTAGTTTGGTGGATTTATGAGAAGGATCATTTGTTTGTTGCATCCTTGAGAGGATCATTTGTTTGGCAGATCCCTAAAGAAAGATCATTTGTTTGATCCTCAGTAAGATTATTTGTTTGGTGGATCTCTAAGGATGATCATTTGTTTGATAAATCCCTAGAGAGAATCGTTTGCTTGGTGAATCTATGGTGAGGATCGTTTGCTTGGTGGTTCCCTAAAGAGGATCGTTTCGTTTGGTCGATCTGTGAAGAAAAGATCGAGGTATCACATTTGGTGATTTTGGTTGAGGTTGTTCGTGTTGAAAGCCATTTAAGTAGAAGACTAGAAGATGAAGATAACTACAATGAGAAAGGTGACACACAAGATTTTAGCCTTTTAAGTCATGTCACAAATTGGAGTGAGTACATCTTATTTGTAACAAGCTAGACATATATATCATACATGCTCTAGCTTGAGGGGAAGTTCTAATGAATATATTATGGAGATCTATGATGTTAAAATTATATTAGGAATAATATATTAGGAATATGTGGTTGAGAGATATTAGAGATATGATTGAGAGAATAAATGAATATTCTAAAAATATGTTTAGCATATTCCTAATAATATGTAACATATGTTTATTTGCTCTTAGTATAAATATAAGAGATCAATGAAGCTCTAGATGGAGGCTCTGGTTTCCTCAGAATTAATTTCAACAATCTTCTTCATCTTCTTCATTCCTAGGTCATAAAAAGTCCAATTCTATCCTTAGCTTATATATACAAGAGTAAACCCATTTCCATGTCCATCTCCTTTTCCCTTACTCCAAAAAGATTAAATGCATTTTTCCAAGACAACCTTTTATTAAACTTTGACGCTTTGGTAAAATCTATATTTTTAGTTTATGTTTTGATAGTGAAAAATGCACTTTATGATCACGACATTTGTTAATATTACTTCAGATATGGAGGAGGCAAAGGAGATGGCGAAGTCCCTTTACTCTTTGATAAAGAAAATGGAGAAGAATATAGAGTTAGGTTTTATGAACTAGAAACAAAGAAGAAACGAAAGACAGAAGGGTATTTTTTTCAAATTTAAGTTTAAGCCTCCACATACATTTAAAATGTACCATAGGTCTGTTACAAAGCTAACAATTTCGTAGCTGGGGATAGATTAGGTTTTTTTCCTTTTCCCGAACTTAACAAAACAGAGAATTTTTTGGAAAAACAAGCTATACATGTAGGGGGTTTATTATAATTTGCTCAATATTGAAAGCTCTATCAGGTTTATGATTGAAATTTTTATGTTAAATTATATTGCATCCTCTCAGTTTGGGTTTAATAACTTTTGTTGCATTTGTACCAAACTCTCAACTTATTAGGGAAGCTTGATTAAAAGTAAATCAATTTGAAATTAATGCATATCAACTATCTTTTCATAAACCAAATCTACTGTTCATGTCAACAGAAAATCAAGGTATTAGAATATCTTCTGAAAGAGGTGGTTTCACACATTTTGCATTGTAATTTTACTATCCAATCCTGAACCCTTAGATTGCTAGGAAAACATCAATAGGATGAGATAATGGACTTATCCCCTAGCCCTTAGTTGCTGACGCACAAGTTAGATGGCACTTAAGCATTCTTCTCCACTTTTCACATTTTTTAGATTATAATTAATAATGGAAAAGTGCTGAAAAGTCAAATAGTTAAGTCCGGGTAAAATATTAGCTGCCACTTCTCCCACTCAACCCTAATTTCCACCAAATCAATGGACTACTACATTGTCCTTTTCTTTAGAATACTTCAAATGCTAGGAAATTATACATGGTTCGTATCTTGGCTGCAGAAGTAATTGCACGGCCATCTACAATCTTGTTATTGGAAGATATTTAAGTTTTAAGGTACATGACAGTTTATGTTTGCTGTTATGCAAAAGCTAAATATCAGGAACCCAACCTTTACTTTTGATGATTATCGGATAACCTCCCATGACTTTAAAAATATAATTACCACCCCCCCCTCTCCCTCCAAAAAAAAAAACTTTTTTATTTACTGACATTTACCCATTATACAAACTAGCATTGTGTTTTTATTCATATTTTTTATTCTGATACTTATTAATAACTGTAAAATTCATGTTGTCCAGGTGTTTCCTAAAATAAAGGATTCAGTGGAGGTATGTTTTCGCCTTATTCTTATTATTGTTTTTGTTTTTTTGGTAGTCATAGCTCTCTGGATTAAAGAAATATATTATTCTTTTCCACAATTCCTTGTGATTAGTTGATATCCTGTGGTCATATTTTGGTTCTTCATGAATTTATAAGCTTAAAATATATCAATCATTAAATTATTTATTAGATGATATCCATACCGACTTGGATGCATTTGCATATACGCAACGTTGTATGGAAGACATTGCTATTGTTCAACCTTGGAATATATTTACCAAGCAGAATATCTGTACATCTGATGGTGTCAGATTGTCACTTACGAACCATGAGTACATCCATCTGTCTAATAGTCAAAAATTTTATATCGATTTCAATTTGTGATCATGTTCGTGCGACATTTTTTGTCCTGTGTAACATTTTATTATTTTATTTTCAGGGAGGCATCATGTTATTTGTCAGTTCCTATTTTGAATACGTGAGAGTGCGGAATTTCTTAACATCTCAGAATGCTTCCTTCTGCTTATTTGGAGAGTAAGCCTTTTTCTCCCTGCCGTCTCTAGTAACTAAATCCTTTACTTATGAACTTATTCACAAACATAAAGGTAGGAAAAAGAATGCATGACAAACTATATTTTCTTAATTTTCTGGTCAAAGCATTGTGTGCTGATCACAACTATCTTATCACCTTGCATTTTCTTTTTTTATATTTATTCATCTTTCTTTCGTCATTGTAGTTATGCAGAGCCACGTGATATATCTCGTGCACGTGTGTGGTTTTTTGAGGGCAAGCGGAAGATCATGCTTTACACCGAAAGAGCTCATTTTTATCGCAGATACAAGGTCAAGTGATGCTTATGCATATTGTTTTATATCTTCAAATAAAATTTGTGAATGTACAAATTTATCTTCTCTCAAATAATACTTGCTATTATTGAGTATTTTCAACTTTTAAGAATTTGGCATGGAACTTGACCGAACTTCATCTAGTTCCTTTGTGCTCATAGTAGCTTCATTGTGCTCTATAACTCTGTGCAGATTCGTGGAATAAAGAATTTATTTATCTACTCTCTACCTGAAAGAAAAGAATTCTACCCTGAGGTTACAAACTCGTTCAACGACCATATATCATTTTCTTTTATACGTTGCCCACAAGTCATCCCTGATTGTTTCTGTGCATATGCTTTCAGATAATTAATATGCTAGAAGGATCAAACAACTTGATGTGCAATGTGCTCTTTTCACGCTTTGATCATCTTCGGGTATGTTACACTTGTCACATATTTCTCTTATTGTACATGTACATATCCTTTCAATCTTATGGAACACCTTAAGTATCTTAATCTTCCTTCTTTGGGTTTATATCCTGCTTAGAAATGGCAGTTGGGCATTTATTTTGAGAGTCCCTTATGTTACAACCTTACATGAATTGGAGAAGGTGTTTCTGGGTTTACAGATCAGTATGTGTTCCTAGTAATAGCCAGTTAACAGCTATATTTGTTTTTTCAGATTCTTTCTTTTGAAAGATCAATGTTTTTTCTATTTGATCCTGATCACCTGGCAGTTGACTGAAAACAAGCTCATTTGGTTTGGTTGGGTTTGGTTTGTTGATGAAAGTGTATTTAGAGCTTCTTATAAAATTGAAGTTGCTGTCCATCGAACCAGTTGAAAGGACCAACAATTTATGAGCAACATTTTGCACACCACTTATACGTCTTGTAAAAATGACCCAATAATGCAATTGTTGAGAAGCTATAAAGAAAAAAGAACGCTTCGCGAGATGAGAAGTAGAGATCCGAAATATACTTGATGTCCCATCCTTTATGAGGGTATGAATCAGGCATGGATTTTATGTGTTTGTGGGTAAATTTGAGTTGGATCTTGTGCTCAACCTTTATCTTAATGTATATAGATTGTCATGTCTAATGGTCAAACTAGAAGTAGGTAAAATTTTTTACATTGTTCAAGATCTTAGACTTGATTGCAATGAATATATAATGAATTTTTAGACATTTCACTATTGCCTTAAGTTGCCCATACTATAAGTAACTTCTAACTACTTTTCTTTCTACAAATAATTTTCAAATTGTCATTAGAGTGTATAAACTTACAGGTTTATTCTTGCAAGTTCTGCAAAAAAGAAAAAGAGATCTTCACTCGCAGAATCTAGAGAATGATTTTCCCATAGAAGTCCATCTTTCTTTACCATCTTGTACGTATCTTCGCCACCCACGGGAATGGTGATAAAAACATAATTAATGGATCAAGGAGGAGGACTATAATTAGGCCTTAGAGAACTTGGCTAGAAGCAGCAAAAAAGAAAAGATATGATAGTTGTTCATTTGACAGAGGAGATGGTGACAAACGGAACTAAAAGGAAGAATAGGATTGAGGCAATGGAACCCAAAAGTTTGAGATAACGGCTATCGTTGTTATGTATTTATATACATTGAGTTGTTCAAAATTAGCACGCTAATACCCTCTATTATGCAAACATGGAAATTTCTATCTGAAAGTTCCTATATAACATTCATATGTAAATTTTAGAGCTTTTTAACCATTAATATTTATTAAATTACTATAAATCTACGCAAATTCTAATTTAAATGTATCCTAATTCTATTTTTGAAATAGAATTTGGAAAGTTTTATAGGAACTTTCAGATAAAAATTAATAGACAAAGTTATAAAATTAGCATCTGAATGTTATAAAATTAGCATCTGAATGTTATATAGGAACTTTCAGATAAAAATTTTCACGTATTAAAAACAGAGGGTATTAACATGTCAATTTTGAACAACTTAGGGTATATAAATGCTATGAAATACAAGTGAGGGTATTTAAGTGCTAAGAGAAGGAAATTATAAGGTATTTAAGTGCTATTTAGCCTGGGAATTAAGGTTCTTTCTTTTTCTTTTTTGTTTTCCTCCCAAAAGTTCAGTAAAGTTGTTTATAATCACAAATAATAAAGAAAGATCACGGTACTAATTTGGAGGATAAAACTCAAAGTTCATTCTAACGTATTGTGATTTATCTACTGCCTATGAGATCAAATCAGTCTTTCTTCGTCGGTTATCCTCAATGCTCTTTTAAGGGACACATTTGAGTGATCAATTTTCTTCAATTTTCTTACTGTATATAACCTCGTCATATTGATCCATCAAATATTTAGCGCTAATGGTGAATGTTTACAGCTGGAGAGAGTCGTTGGGACTGGAGCTGCCAAGAGGATGGTGTCCTCTGATAAGAAGATCTTTGTTTTTGCCTGAGTATACAAATGCATTTTAGTTCAAAGGTGGGAGTTTCTGCAAGATGAGGGCATCACGTTTAGCGTTCTAATTATGTTTTTTATTTTCATTTCTTTCCCAGATGTGGGGAAATATGTTGTCCCCACCTAATTATTTCTTTTTTAATTGTGGGTAATTGCCCTTGTTGGTTGTGTAACAACAGATTTTCATGACTTCGGATAGTGCTAAATATCAATTGTGGGTAATTGCCCTTGTTGGTTGTGTAACAACAGATTTTCATGACTTCGGATAGTGCTAAATATCCGGCTCCATGTTAATCTGCAGTTTTGGTAGTAACAACAGATTTTCATGACTTCGGATAGTGCTAAATATCCGGCTCCATGTTAATCTGCAGTTTTGGTAGCAACTCTGTTTTATTCTTTTTAAGGGATCATTACATAGTGATTACATGAAAGTCTTGTAGCAGTTAGCGGACTAGTTTTTATTCCGTGAAAATGAAGGTCTAAGTTATTGTAGAAACAAGTTGAGAGGTTAAGTTATTGTAGAAACAAGTTATTGTAGAAACAAGTTGAGAGTGCTAAATATCCGTTGAACTTGCATGTAATCAGCTCAAAAGGAAAAAAATTATATTTATGCTCTTTATTTCCTTCAAAATTATAAGGGCTCATCAGTTTGGCAACGAACTCCAAAATAACACTTTTGGGTTACGAGCGCATTGCTTGGACTTTTTGTTTTAATTTGCTTAGCATATCTAAAGTAACCTGTTCCAAGGTCTGATTTTATAGAAATCTTGAAAGTGAACTCCTTTGTTTAGGTCATTGAATGACCAAATTGCAAGACTTTAGGAATTGAGAGAGTAATGAGCAATTTTGAAAATTTGAGAGACTAATATGGACTTATGGAAGATTTGAAGAACTAATATCGAACTAACCATATTTAAAATTAGAGTGGAAGAACTAGTGATTTTAAAAAAAAGCCTAAATGATAAACTTATCAAAAATTGTTATTTTGTTTAACTCTAATTTATGAACTTCAAAATAGATTTTGTAGGATTAGGAGGGTGCCCTAAATCTTCGAACCAATCTCCCTTGCAATATCTTTGTTTAAAAGTTCGGTCTTCCAAGTAATTTTCTTGAATTTATAAATTATAATATTTTTGACTCGAAATAAAATTTCTGGAGATTATGGTTAAATGTAATATTCTAATATTAATGATTCTTTATTCTTGTTTGGACTAGATATACAATTTTATGAAAAGTAGGGGTTAAATAAATTTCTCAAGAACTTTTTTTCTTGTAAACCTCTATTTATTTTAATTTTAATTAAGTTTTGTTCGATTTAGAGGGCTAACTTAAATTTTCTAAAAACTAAGCTCCTCTCTTCTTCCTTTCATTTTCTGCTATTAATGTCTCCCTCTTAAGGATCTATTTGGATGATAAAAATATCGAAAATAAGAAGTAGACCAAAAAAATTATGAACTAAAAAGTAGCGGAAATAATACTTTTTTTATTTGCTTCATATGTTTTGGAAAGTAATAGAAATATCACTTCTTCCACTTCATTTACTTCTTTTATTTGGATAGCAATTAAAATATTGTTAATAAGTAACTAATACATTGTATAAATCAGAACGAGAATACCGTCCTTTATTATATCTTAACCAATACCTTAACACTTTACAAATACTGTAGCATTTTAGATGATTTATAATACTCTACAATGCATTAACACTCTACAATTATAATAATTTATAATACCTTACAATGCACTAACATCAATTTTCAATTTTGAAAAACAAACATTAATGTTTTCAATATGTGAAGAATTTTTAGAAGCGCATGGGTCCAAAAAGTAGACGATAAAAAAACTGGGCTTGTTATAGTGATATGATTAGGGTTCGAAACGCGTTCATTTAATTCCATTCTATACAAAATTTAAATTGTCATAAAAGGATGGTTTGATTGAAAAATGCCTCACGAATCCGAAAATGGGACAGATAGGGGGAGACAGGTGAGGTGTCCCCCCTATCTGTTCCATTTTCTGATCCCTGTAAAAACACCCGGTTTGATTATACATTCCCATTAGATCAGATGATTTAATTTCATAATATGTTTGCATTGGTAAGGATGAGGTTATTGTAAAAAGTATTGACCTGAATATTATTCCTTTTATGCAATAGGAGTTATCTGCAAAATTTGTAATAAAAACCACCCTATGAAGAGGCAGCGCCAATCCTAACGGATTCCGATTCCGATTCCGATTCCGATTCCATGATGTTCTCACATGTGGGCCCTCGTAGTTTTTTGCTCTACTCTACTTCTGAAGCACTTCCAAGTTCGAAGCATCAGATTTTTTTTTTTTTGGAAATCAATGCGGCAAGTAAGCACCACATCCCTAATTAAGGAAGTAGAGGAAGCATTGTTTATGAAAAAACAAATAGTTTTTTTTCGGAAGTAGTAAAAATATTAGTTGTTTTCTTTACTTCTATCTACTTTATAGCTATTTGCATGCAAACAAATAGCCTCTAAAACAAACTTGTACACATCAACACAAAATAAACTTGATGGGAAACCACATGTATGATAGTCGCATCATCGGACAAAATAAACTTGTTCCTGCTTCTATCATAACGGTTGATGCTATCCTTAGCAAAATGCCCATAAAAGCAGCGCCTCGAGGAATTAGCAAAACGCCATGTACACATTAATTAACTTGATATCCAATATTTTGGAGGAAAAAAGGGGCGTACTTCTATTAAAACAGTCAATAAGCTAGGGAACTGCAAGGTCCAAATGGATGTTGAAATCTATCGATTTACTTTATGAAGAAGAAGATTCAGCATGAAGGGCTGCTTGCTTCCCTCTTTTGCACTTTTAGGGTGGGCCGTCTCCCCGTCTTTCGCACCATATACGCTCTTGAATTTTGAACTGGTCGCTTTGGTGGGTAGGTGAGTATTTGCATGGGATTATCTCAAGGAGGAAATCCCCTCCTATGACAAGGATACCCATTAATCTCATATATAGAGATTAATGGGTATCCTTGTCATAGGAGGAGATTTCCTCCTATGACGCCTCTAAAATCACATGATTGAGCGACATTGTGGATTATCCGCTCCGTTGAACTTAAAATCACATGATTGAGCGACATTGTGGATTATCCGCTCCGTTGAACTTGATCTACATATTCTAAAACTCCAACACACCAAGTTTGGGGAGAACCCGTCGTCGTTTGACCCTTCATCCACTCGTATCAATTTTAACGGTTTTGAATGAATAGAACTTTTCACATGGCTCGATGGAGGGTCAAACGACGACGGATTCACCCCAAACTTGGTGTGTTGGGGTTTTAGAATATGTAGATCAAGTTCAATGGAGCGGATCATCCACAATGTTGCTCAATCATGTGATTTTAGAGACGTCAAGGAGGAAATCCCCTCCTATGACAAAGATACCCCAAACTTGGTGTGTTGGGGTTTTAGAATATGTAGATCAAGTTCAACGGAGCGGATCATCCATAATGTCGCTCAATCATGTGATTTTAGAGGCGTCAAGGAGGAAATCCCCTCCTATGACAAGGATACCCATTAATCTCACATATATATATATATATATATATATACAAAACGTGTATGTGTGTGTATGATTGAGCTTGAAGTATTTAACACACATAATATAACACCTAGTCTATTTACCCAAGCTTGATTAATATTCAATATGCAAAGTACGATTTATATATTTAGGGTGCTGCTATAGGGACCCCAAATAGGGGACCCAAGTGGGGACATATGAGATGCTCACCTTGAATGCATAATGCACTGTTCATGAACAGTACATTATGCATTCAGGGGGGATACCTCACCTGTCCCCTCTTGGGTCCTCTATTTGGAATCCCTGAGGCATTTTTAATATATTTATCACCTGATAACAAAGAAGACAAATAGTTAAAACTGAAAATAAAATTCTAATAGGAAGCCTACACGTAGCCACTTTGAGCCATATCTTGGTTACTGCTTGCTTCCCCATCTTTGAATTCAGCATCAAGCTAATCCAAAATTTAAAAAATAGTAGGAAAAAACCTCAAAGTTTTCCCTCAAAATAAACAAAGCGATAACTAACTAACCAAACGATCTCATGGACTCCTTGTGTTTAATCACAGAGAAGAAGAGAAAAAGAATGGATTTCGTTGAGGGGGGGCTCCGGTAATGGGTAAGAGGGCTTGATTCTTCTATTTCGTTGTGTTTCTGCAAGTAGATTACACTCCTTTATATAGGCCATAAATCCCATCATCTCCACCCCCCTCAATCCGCCTCTGAGAGAAAATCTCTCAACAAACCCCAATTTTCTCATTCTCCACGATTCTCTCTACTGAGAAACCGTGGTTGATTTGGTCATCCATGACCGAGTCAAGCTAACATACTGAGAAACCGTGGTTGATTTGGTCATCCATGACCGAGTCAAGCTAACATCTCCCACTTGACCAAATTAACCAAGTGACATGCCTCCCACTATCCATGAGATCGGATGTTTCTGCTTACCATTACTCCCACTATCCGTAGAGAGTAACACTTATTTCATTATTCATGAAATTTTACTTGGACTTATTTATTCCTAAGTCCCATCGAACTTACATGTTTGATAAAAGATTCCGCTGGTATTCCTTTTGTCAAAGGATCAGCAATCATATCTGTAGTAGGGATATAAGTCACTTTGACTTCTCCCTTTTCTACAATATCTCGAATATAGTGATACTGGATCTCAATATGTTTTCCTTTGGAGCTATTCGCGCCACTATTGATTAAGCTAATTGCTGCTTGATTATCACAATAAATATCAATAGGTCCTTCTAACAAATTGAGATCAAGATCAATCAAAAACCGTCTTATCCAGACAGCATGTGTAGTTGCCATACTGCAAGCTATATATTCAGCTTCTTGCGTATATCTAGCAACACACCCTTGTTTCTTGCTACTCCAAGAAACAGCTCATCCTCCAAAGATGAATAAGTGTCCCGAAGTAGACTTTCCATCATCTTTATCACCTCCGAAATCAGCATTGGAATAACCGAGGAGTTCAAGCGAATCAGCTTGATAAACTAATCTATGAGTCAATGTACCTCTGATATACTTCATAATCCTTTTAACAGCTTCCCAATGTACTGGTCCTGGATTACTTTGATATCGACTGACTAGACTCACAACATAAGCTATATCAGGTCTGGTGCACAACATTGCATACATCAAGCTTCCAATTGCTTGAGCATAAGGAACATCTAACGGCTTCTGCCCCTCTCCAGGGCTTTGCTCTTTACATAATCTCTTTCCCGTAACCAACGGAGTTGGTGCCGGATTGGAATTATCCATTCCAAACCTTTTAAGAATTGATCTTAAATATTTTTCTTGGTTTACACTTAGCATTCTAGACTTTCTATCTCGAATTATTTGAATTCTAAGAATTTATGATGCATCTCCCATATCTTTCATCTCAAACTTTTCGCTGAGATCAGCCTTGGTTTTATTCAACATTTCTATGTCATTTCCAGCGAGCAATATATCATCCACATATAAGGTTAATATAGTAAACTTGCTCCCACTTTTCAAGACATATACACAATTATCTAATTTATTTTGAATAAAACCAAGTTTAGTAACTACATCATGAAATTTGAGATACCATTATCTAGAAGACTGTTTTAAACCATATAGAGATTTCATTAATTTATAAACTTTATGTTCCTGTTCTTTCACCTGAAAACCTTCAGGTTGTTGCATATATATTGCTTCCTTCAACTCTCCGTTAAGGAATGCAGTTTTAACATCCATTTGGAATAACTCCAAATCAAGATATGCAACAATAGCCAAAATAATTCTAATGGATGCAAATTTAGCTACAGGAGAATACGTCTCCTGAAAATCTATTCCTGCCTTCTGGTTATAACCTTTGGCAACTAACCGTGCTTTGAATTTATCAATAGATCCATCAACACGATATTTCTTTTTGAGCACCCATTTGCATCCTATGGCTTTCCTATTTTCTGGTAGATCACATAACTCCCATACCTTATTCTTTTCTATGGAATCAAGTTCTTCTTTCATAGATTCTAGCCATAAAGCTGATTCATGCGATTTCATCGCATCAGAAAAGGTTAAGGGATCTTGTTCTTCTATATTTGTATCTACCGAAAAACAGGATGACTCACATGAATACAAATAGTAATCATCCATCCATGAAGGTTATGTTCTTGGCCTTTTGTTACCTACAACTGGTTGATTAGGTACATTATTTTCCATAGGTATTTTATTATTTTCAAGGTTAGGTTCATTCACAATATCAGGGTCATTAGTGGGAACAACACTGTAATAATCATCATCTATTACAGTTAGAGGTTCTGTTTTCTCTTGAACTTGTTCCTCTTCCTCTAGATTCTCTAGAAATGTAGCATCTCTGCTTTCAATGACTCCTTTTTCTTTATTGTAGAACTTATAACCTTTTGACTTTTCTGAATACCCTATGAATTTACACTTTATTGTTTTAAAATCCAACTTATCTCTAAGTTGACATGGAATGACAACATGGGCTATAGATCCCCACTTCCTGAGATGACTCAAATTAGGTTTCCTCCCATTCCATAATTCATAAGGTGTAGATATAACTGATTTGGTGGGAATTCTATTTAAAATATAGTTTGCAGTTAACAATGCTTCTCCCCAAAAGTTTTTAGAGAGACCAGAATGAGACAATATGCATCTAACTACATTTAATAATGTTCTGTTTTTTCTTTCAGCAACACCATTCTGTTGTGGCGTATACGACATTGTTGTATGCCTTTTAATTCCATGCAGAATACAATAACTTTCAAATTCCTTAGAATTATATTCTCCACCTCTATCAGTTCTCAAAATTTTGATATTCAATCCAAGTTGGTTTTCAACTTCTGTCTTATATCTCTTAAAGCAGTCAAAAGCTTCTAATTTTTTGGATATAAGATAGACGTGTACAAACTTGGAATAATCATCAATAAAAGTAATAAAATATTCTTTATTACTATGAGTTTTGATACTTAGGAGACCACAAATATCCGAGTGTATCAACCCTAAAAGTTCATTGGCTCTATGTCCGCTAACAAAAGGTTTTCTAGTCATTTTACCAGTTAAACAATGTTCACATGGTGGCAATTGAACATTAGATAGTGCAGGAAGCAAGTTCATTCTGATAATTTCTTTTATTTTTAAAATACTAGCATGTCCTAGTCTAGAATGCCACAATTCAGATTCAGAAATATAACAGGACAAGTAGTTCAAATTCGAAATTTTATTATCAGAATTATTACAAACTACTGGAAGAATGCATAATTCATGCTCGGGCTCATATTTTCCCATAGCATACACTTTATTATTCTTGCCTATAGAAACCCTGTTATTATAGAACCTCACTTTCAGTCCTTTCTTCATCAAGCTGGGAACAGAGATCAGATTGCGTCGAATTCCTGGCGCATAGAACACATCTTTGAGGATAAGAATGCTGTCCCCAAGATCCAATCTATACGAACCAATACCTTCTACATCGAGATAGGTATTATTTCCCATATAGATTCTCTGTTCTCCTTTCTTCAGCTCGGTGAATTCTACGATTCCATTCTTGTCCTTTGCGATATGCCTAGTCGCACCGGAGTCGATCCACCAACCACTGATATCCGTCATCACAGCATTACATTCCGTCACACCGACGAATTCTCTTTTGCTAGTACCCCCTTGTTCTAGATGCTTATAGCCTCCCTTATTCTCCTGCTTTTCACATTGTGGGCAATTGGGTTTGAAATGTCCGAACTTTCCACAATTGTAGCAGGCTCCGCGGGGTACTTTCTTTCTCTTGAACTGCTGCGATTTCGGTCCTTGTGGTTGTGGTTTACTAAAACCAGGGTTTTTATAGCTTCCAGCATTATGTCTCTGGCGGACATAATTCAGCTCTTGCTGCACCATATTCAGTTCTGGTTCCTTCCTACTGGCTATTAAGTCCTGTTCTATCGCTAGGTGCATAGGAAGATCAGTGACAGACTTAATGGCAGGATTCATTCTTAATGTGGTGGCAGCCACAACAAGTGAAGGGGGAAGACTATTCAAAATGGTTGCACTTGCATTCTTTCCGGGATTTCGGTCCCAACAGTGGATAAGTTCTTAGCCATGACAATCATTTTATTTATATGCTCTACGACATTGTCTCCCTCTTGCATACGATAAGAATTATACTTATGCAAGAGTAGTTGGATGTTAACTTCAGAAGCAGTGTCGTATTTTTCTTTTATTGCATTCCACATGTCCATGGAAGTCTTATAAGTTTCAAAAACTTTGATTAAGTTATCTTCCATGAACATGAGCATACGACTTTTCGCATTTTTATCTTTCGATTTCCACTGTTCAAACCCTTTCTTTTCTTTAGGTGTAGATTTATCAGTAAGGGTTGGAGCAGTGGTTTTGATTATATCATCAATGTTGTCATGAATAAGAGCATATCCTATTTTTCTATGCCACATATCATAATTACTGCCATTAAATTTGTTAATTTTGCCTAGTTCTGATAGAACGAGTTTACTAGCCATTCGGTAAAGAACTAAAACTAAATTCAATTTTAAAATATGTATAAGGTTGATATTTTGACAATTATTCTAAAATAAAAAATAAAGTTAGATAAAATTAAATAAATAAGGTAAAATGAACCTGATTCTTGTGTGCTGATAAATAAAGATCCAATTAAAGCGAGGTCGTCACTCAACGATGTTGATTGGATCAGCACTTGTCGAAGTTGATTGAGTTTGAATCGTGGAGATGAGCTGCTGCTATCGTTGGATTCCACTGGATAGGATTTCTGAACAACTACAATTTTTTTTAAGTGGCTCTGCTTAACTAATAACAAATGGACGGGCTTTGATTGAAGGTGGGCTTTGCTTTAACAAATTAAAAGATGGTCAAGCCTTGTAACATGGGTCTTGTAACTAGGCCTGGGTGTGATTTGTTGTGGGCCTCTTGAAAACTTGGCTGCTCATCTCTTGAAGTGAACGTGGGCTTGCTCAAACGAGGGCTTGCTCGTATCTAAGGCACCACTTCAAACTCCTTTCCTTGAGCAGCAAAAAAATCAGATCCAGAACCTAGGGCAAAAGGGTTGACGGCGAAACCTCCGACGTCGTCGTTTGACGGCGGAAACCGACGGTGCGACGATACTATATCCAGTGATTCGATCTCTTTTAGCAGCCGTCGAAGTCGCAGCCTTGTCGTCGTCTATCGATTGATCGTCGAAGCAGAGTCGTTGAGGTGACCGATTGACGCAGAGCTCGAGAGGGTGGCGATGAGATCGACAGGCTTTGATACCAGTGTTTGATCACAGAGAAGAAGAGAAAAGGAATGGATTTCGTTGAGGGGGGCTCCGGTAATGGGTAAGAGGGCTTGATTCTTCTATTTCGTTGTGTTTCTGTAAGTAGATTACACTCCTTTATATAGGCCATAAATCCCATTATCTCCACCCCCCTCAATCCGCCTCTGAGAGAAAATCTCTCAACAAACCCCAATTTTCCCATTCTCCACGATTCTCTCTACTGAGAAACCGTGGTTGATTTGGTCATCCATGACCGAGTCAAGCTAACATTTGCCAATAGGTATTCGAATACTAGAGAAAGAGTTTGGAATTTGGAATAAGATTATCTATGATTTTATTGTGCATCTATAGAGAAAGATCGAGTTTGGAATTTCAATGGCTTTGAGTGAGGATTAATGTGATAATAGGGATTACAACAGTACAATCATGAATTCTATTCATGAGTAAGTGTGGTTATCCATAGTATATTTAATTGGAGGTTATGAACATGGTTAAGAACTTGAATAGCTTTTTAATAGGTATGTTTTGTTTACATGTATTGTATTTACTCTTTTCTTTAGTAGTTTATATAGCATAGCATAGTTTTAATAATAATAATAATAATACTCTTTTTAAGTAGGTTTCCGTTAGCAGTATAGTATTAACATAGATAATATAGTATACTATATTCTAGTGTACATACAATTATTAATATCAGCTCTCAAATGAACCCGGTCAAAAACCAAGCCCAACCCAAACAATAACTCGCGGTCGACCGCGATGGTCAACCGTGCAGGTATCGCGGTCGACCGTAGTGGTCGATTGAACCAAATGACAGAGAACAAATATCCTACAGGAAACTCGCGGTCGACTGTCACGATCGACCGAACCTCATCTCGAGAGTTAAATCGCCTACAGGGTTTGCGCGGTCGACCGTCACGGTCGACCGCCTTCAGATCCGAATCCTACTGCCCTCTTGTGCACGTTCGCGGTCGTCTCCTGAACTTCTTGCTGCTTCTCTCGCCACTTCTTCAATTCTCCACCTCGGCGAATGTTTTTACCAAAACTGAGCCGACACGAAATCATCCAATAGTCCCTGTTGCGTCCAGGACATCGTGGAAATACCCCACGACAACGGACTCAATCCACAACAAGTCCGGGATCCAAACTAGAGCTGAAACACGATCCCCCCATTGAAATCAAACCGGCTGCATCTGAAAGACTGCCTACATATCCTCTTGCCCAAGCAATCAAGCCGAACGTAGTTCACCCAAATGGCCTCCAAAGGCCTCAATCTACTAGAAGAGTTCGCAACCCTTCTCCAATATCACGATTAAGTCTACGGCTGATAGCACCTCCAATGGTCCCAAACTGAAACAATCCAAACATCTTCACCTGAGATGAACCAATGGCCATATCCAGAATCCATCTATCAGCTACACTCGAATCGATCAACCTATCATCTGCATCCAAATCAACATGATTCTCAATCTGTGTCATATCAGCTAGAATCCCAAATGATGCAGTATGATCTGGAGTCTCCACCCAGCGTGGAGTAGCATCACTCTCCACCCGCTACGATGTCCTAATGATCTGATCATCACTCTCCACCTACCGAGAGTCAAATGTGACATACCTGTTCAGAACAAAGTCAGAAGCCAATACCTGATAATCAAATACGCCTCTGACTCCTAAATATGCTATCGGATCAAATCTCACATCCACGATATGACCAAGTGCTGAGTAGCCAAACATCCAACGTAACCCAAAATCTAAAGCAGCTCCACCAGATCCAAAATCTCTACATGCAACAGTCGGTAACCTATGCATAAGATAGCCTAAACATGTCGTAGCCCGCACACCGATACCAATGCTCGACATCAAACGCTGATCCTCCTCCAGAAAAGAACAGCTCCCCAAATCTGCCATCTCATCACGTCGCCATAAAGTTTCCACACCAATGAAGTGTCTTCTATTGCCGTGAGCTCGGCACAAACACAAGAAAGAACCCCTACCATAATCAGAACGTTGGGTTACCTTTCTATCAACACACTTCCTTCATATGTTGTGGGCTTCTAGGACTTTACACCAACGGGACTTGGTTGCAACCCACTAATGCCTAGAACAATCTTCAACTGCGGAAACCACATACCTAATACCTCCCAATAATGCTCCCTTGGAAGGCCCCCGAATGCCTGAATGAACACCTCTCAGAAGACGCCTCGAATGATGGATAGAAATGCCAAGATCCACCACGGTCTTCTCGCTTATCCCAATGTGCTCAAATGACTTCCATTTGCAGGTCAACACACTCCTCAACAACCTATGCACGACATTACCAATCAAATAACCCAGCATCAAACAACGCCACAGTCTAGCCGAATCTGATGAAGTCGTCAGCTCCCTATCAATTGTTATGCTTCCAAGAAAATAATATAAATTGCTCATTCTGACACCCTTCATCATAATCATGGACCCCAATGTGACCTTCAAACATGCATCCACTAAGATCACCATATAGCCTACTGCCTCCAAAGCTCCAAGTGAAATGATGTTCATATTCAATTGTGGAACGAACCTTACATTATCCAACTCTCGCATCATCCTGTCACTCATCTTAATCCGAACGGTACCAATACCACCAAAAGAGCATGTATGTCCATTACCCATGAGCATAATATCCTCTCTTTCTAACTCCTGAAAGCTGGAGAACAAATCCCTCCTAGGGCAAATATGGTAAGAAGCACTTGAATCCAATATCCACTCGGTAGAGTCGGCATCACAAACTGATGGTAGTGCGGATAACGAATAGCCTGAAGAATCCGAATCCGAATTGTTGCCACTAGTCTTGACAACATTCACCTCTGAAGCTTGTACAGCTTTCCCCTTATTCTTCTCGGCTCGATCTAAATTTGGGCATTCAGCTTTCTAATGTCCATCATCTTTACAAAAAGCACACTGATTCCTACGAATCCATGATGTGCACCTCTAGACTGCGACCTCCTGCTTCAGTTTGAACCACGACCATGAACTACTAATGCATATCCCGATGCCTTCTCGGAGGGTTCATCGACACTCTTCCTCAACTCATAATTCACCAACACTGAGGTCACCTTTTTATAACTAACAGTAGTTCTTCCATTAATCATAGTTAGGACAAAAGTACCATAATTATCCTCGAGCAACGAACACAAAAGTAGCATCGCCTTGTCTTCATCCTCAACCATGATATCCACATTGGCCATATCTGAAAGTAGCTTTGTGAAGTTGTTAACATGCTCCCTGATGGAAACTCCCCTCTTCATTTTGAACTGATAAAACCTCTTCTTCAAGTAAAGTCGATTCTCAATGCTCTTCGTAAGGTACTTCTCAATGAGTGTTTCCCACATTCTCTTAGCCGACGTCTCGTTCATAATATCATAAATAAGATCCAGCGTCAAGCATGACCGAATAACTCCACACGTCCTACTATTCATCTTCTTCCAATCCTTTTCTTCCATATCAGCAGGTTTCTCTTGCAACTCAAGAGTCTCTCCCAAGTTTTGAGCGTCCAACGCATCCATCACCTGGCGCCTCAACAAACCGAAATTGATCTTTCCGTCAAACTTCAGAACATTAATCTTCATGTTATTGATACTCAAACTATGTATCGTCTTCGTAAGAGACGAACCTGATGTGCTTGATTCTCCTATGTTGTCGATCTAACTCTTCAAATAAGAATTCAACAGCGAATCCTTCGAACAAGCTCCCAAGTCTAACCAGAAGCTCTGATACAAATTGTTGTGTGCGGTGGAAGCTTCGAGGCGACACGAAAAGTAACTCGAGATAAATCACAACCACTAAACGAATCACAATCACAGCAAGAATAAACTATTTACGTGGTTCGACAAGTTGCCTACGTCCACGGGGCAAGGAGGGGGGGGGGAGTTCTTACTATTAGAAAATCAAGAGAATACAAATAGAGTTACAAATCTCACCGATCAAACCCTAAAACAAAGCTCTTGATCTCTCACAAATCTCCCACAATTAGATGCAACAATTCTTTCCAAAAGACTACTCAAAAAACGTCATTGCTTTCCAAAAGACTGCTCAAAAAACGTCCTTGCTTAACCCTAACTAATTCTAATTAGAGTTTTATATCAGCTCTCAAACAAACTGGGTCAAAAACCAAGCCCAGCCCAAAAAACAACTCACGATCGACCGCGGCGGTCGACCGTGCAGGTACCGCGGTCGACCGTGACGGTCGACCAGAATAATGATAGAGAACAAATATCCTACAGGAAACTCACGGTCGACCACCACGGTCGACGAACCTCATCTCGAGAGTTAAATCGCCTACAGGGTTTGCGCGGTCGACCGCCACGGTCGACCGCCTTCAGATCCGAATCCTACTATCCTCCTATGCACGTTCGGCGGTCGACCGCCACTGACTGCGCGTCGACCGCCTGGCCGATTCTCCTGAACTTTCTGCTGCTTCTCTCTCCACTTCTTCATTTTGACTAACAAATAATTGGTTTGATTTAATAAGATTGGGGGTTATGAGAAGATTTTAATTGGTACAGTTTACGCATGTAAGCATGAATATATATATATATATATATATATATATATATATTATATATATATATATATATATATATATATATATATATTATATATATGTGTGTGTGTGTGTTTTTTTTTTTTTAAAGACCAATTTTGAAAGAAATATTTTAACATGACAACAGACTTTTATAATAATGGTAGTAATAATAATAAGGGGTTTTTCTCTTTTAACCCAAAGTTTTACCCCTACTTATTTAAAAACTCATCTACTTTTCCAAACATCAATACACCTAATGCATCTCATCCCACTTATTTTTAAACCCAATTTGTATAATACACTCATTTGTTATACTATATTTACCCAATAAAATTAAAAATTTCTAAACTACCTTTTCCCCCAATTACAACCAGTCTCTCCCTCTCCCTCCTTCGTTTTACTTTCCCAAATATAGCAATCCATAGATCCCTGAGTGCGATTCTCAAACCTCAAAACTCCCAAATCGATCTCAAAATCTTTGAAAATAATTGTCCTTAATCTCTCTAGTTTGCATAAACGCATCGTGTCACTCTTACTTTGGCACTACACACCTTTCTCACTCTTATTTTGGTGCAATACAATGCCAAATAGTTCAACTTTCCGGCGAAGGAGAAAAGACCACTATCGTAGAGAACGTTTAGGTAAATTTGACAATTAATAATTAATTTTTCTGATTTATAAAGGTACTAAGCCTGCGGCTAGGAGATTCATAATAATTATTTTATATTTTTTTGAAATTCTTGTCAATAGGTTGTCAAAGATGTCTAGTAGAAGTAAATCGAGGGGTTATTCCCAAACAAAAACTAAGACTACTAAGTAAGTAAATTTTATTAATTTCTCTAAAATTATTGTCATATCATGAATTTTATTAATTTCTTTGAATGTTTGGTTCCCTTGTGAAAGATTGGCCTGCTGCATTGAATTGGAGGACTCGTTGTCATATGTGTCCTGTATTTTTAAGTAATCAAGTATAAATCAATATAAATCGATTTAGGAACTTAATTATACCTTCTTTGCTTTGAAACATATCATTTGTCATATAATTTCATTATTTATTATGTTTTGCAAATTATATAGTTTATGTAATATAAAATGTGGACATGCTATCCATATTATTATGCTTGTGGAGTATCAAAGAATGTGTCCTTGTGTAAGTAAAATCAGTTCATTAAAAGTATTGGTGTAGTTTTTATTAAAATATTATTAATTTATCATATAATCATTGATTGTGCCATTTGTTTGTGTAGGAGCTTAGATTGTGACATTTTCATGATATGATACATACATTCCATCATTAATGACACAACTCTATTCATTTATCAGAATGAGTGTGCACTTTTCTGATCAAAGATCTCTATTGCATTTATCTCAGAGGAATCAGAAAATTTGCTAGAAAATGCTTTTACCTAGGAAGCAGACTCTGAATATATATGTCTAGGATGTCCTTATTTTTGAAGTTGTATTGTTTAAGATCTGTGTATTTGATTGTTTCATGTTGTGTTGATTTTGTAGTGGTGATTTTGGGTAGTGGTGATTTTGGACACTGAGTATAAATCAAATCGGTTTTTTAAGCAATGTGAACGTGTGATGATGTATACAACGTGTTGTTCGATCGATTGTTCATGTCGATGAGAAGTCCACTCTCAATTTTCTATTTTTTTAAAAATGTATAGCTATTTATACTGAAGTGTAGCATCTTTTTGTGAAAGTATAACTCTTTATTGCAAAGTATAGCTCTTTACTCTTTATTGACAAAGTATAGCTCTTGATGGTCTCTGAAAATTCTAAAACTTAGTAAAATAAATCAAATTAGTTTTTTCTGAGCAATATAAATGTGTGATGATATATACAATGTGTTGTTCGATCGATTATTAATATCGACGAGAGGTCCACTCTCAAATTTCTAGCTTTCGAAAAAGTAGAGCTCTTTATTGATAAAGTATAGCTCTTTATGTTCTCTAAAAATTCTGAAACTTAGTGAAATAAATCAAATTAGTTTTTTCTGAGCAATGTAAATGTGTGGTGATGTATACAATGTGTTGTTTGATCGATTATTCATGTTGATGAGAGGTCCACTCTTAATTTTTTAGTTTTTGAAAAAGTATAGTTCTGTATACTGAAGTGTAGCACCTTTTTGTGAAAGTATAGATCTTTATTCCAAAGTATATCTCTTTATGACCATAGTATATCTCTTTATTAATAAAGTATAGCTTTTTATGCTCTCTAAAAATTTTAAAACTTATTAAAATAAATCATATCAGTTTTCTTTTGAGCAATGTAAACGTGTGATAATATATACAATGTCACACATTTTCATTGATAAAAACTACCGACTCGATTTATTTTATATATTTTCAAAGACAATAAAGAGCTATACTTTATCAATAACGAGCTACACTTCTGCTATAAAGTCTATACAATTGTATAAGGAGCTATGCTTTATAAATAAGAAGCTACGCTTTGGCATAAAGTGCTATACTTCGCTCAGACATTGTATAAACGAGAGTGCAATTGAAAGTTATAAAAAAATTGAATAAACAACTATATACATGGTCACCCATTTTTACTATTCAAAAAGATTACTCAATTGATTTATTTTCAACATTTTCAGAGACAATAAAGAGCTATGGTTTAGCAATAAAGAGCTATATAGTTGTGTAAGGAGCTATACTTCCAAATAAGGTGTTACTCTTTAGCATAAAGTGCTACACGTTGATCGGACATTGTATAAATAAGATGCTACACTATGTAAGTTATGAAGAATTGTAGTACTACAATAGCTCCCAAGGTACTTAATTGTTGCAGCATTACCATCACAAACTCTTATCATCATAGAAGAACCAAGAATTTATATAATTGTACAAGCTTCTCAAATGTTACTAGCAAACATGTTTCCAGATGAGCAATAAAAAGAAAAAGGGGAAAAAGAAGTAAAACCCATAAAATGATAAATGAAGGAAGAAGAAAAGATAAGAAATCCTAAAGAATAATCTCGACAATCTCTAATAAAGATCTCTTCCTCCTCTAGCAGCCCAACCATAAACCTTAGTGGGCAACTACACATTATTTATCAATTTTGGCGGCAACCCATGAAACCCATCATTTGGGCTACTGCGTTGGTGGTGGTGATGACTGACCCATAAGTCCAATAGTATCCGCCGCCATATACACCTCCTTCTCCTCCTCCAACGGTAGCCTCTTGTAAGCCGTGTTCCTAAATGACGTCGCCATTATCACCACCGGCCTTGCCGCTATCAATTACCCCCACCATGTCACTCCTAACAACCTCCCCAACAACCTGCCCTTGCCCATGGCGTCTAGCGGTGCTGGTGGTGGCGGCAAAAAAGAACCAGAGGGGGACAAAACCTCAAAGTGGCCGTGGAGATGGACGACGAATATCCTTACAAGGACTTGTAGACCTTCAGAAGCTAGTGATTGTTGGACAAAATTGGAGAATAAAGCCAAGAGAAGGGTCATTTCCTTTGTTCTGAGATTCGTAGATCTATTTACAGATTAAAGGATATGTATTTTGAGAATTTTGAGAAATATTATGCATAAATACCTTATATTATAAGGATCGGGTTTAAAAATAAGTGGGATGATGTATCTTGGGTGCATAAATATTTATGAAACTAAATGAGTTTATAAATAAGTGGGGGTATAATTTTGAGCTAAAAGACAAAAACCCCTAATAGTAATATTATTAGTAGATTTGTTACTATATGTTGAATGAAAGTGTTTTATTTGCTTTCCGTGAGTGGAGGGACGAGCATCCTTCATGATCTTCGATCCGTAGTTCTTGTTTGTTTTTATCAACAGTGGCCGAAGCATATTGCTTTAAGTTCTACATATAATCACTGAAGGAGGCTTTCAAAAGGTAGGAGTAGGAATCCAAAATATATTCCTAGCTAGTAGCTATTTATATTGTTTCTAACCGAATATTAGTTTATGAGTGGATTAAGTATATGCCAGAGTGCATGTTGTTGATAAAAGGTATGACACTTCGATAGCAATCAAGTATATCTGAATTATACCTAAATACCAGGTGCATTTTATTAGCGACAAGCGGTGTATGCATAAAAGTATGTTTCAGCTTGAAATGTGTTCGAAGAGTCAAGGCTATATGGTCTTTGCATGTATCTAGTTTAAGGTTGCCTAAATACTTGTGCTCTGGTACATAAAGTATAGGTTAATTGCGAATTGATCCCTTATATGGTCTTTGCATGTATCCAGTACTTTTTATTGCGAATAGATCCCTTATAGTTGTACTTGTTGTGAATAGACTCTGATACGAGTTGCCGTGCGAGCACCATTGATCGCGGAATTATCAAGAGTGGGTTGCGAAGAAAATAACAGGAGAACACACAAAAGAGTTGATTTGGGCGAAGGAAAATACCTTCTCTAGATTATGAGAATTAATAGATTACAAATCTCTCTCTCACAATCTCTCTAGATCAAAGAACAAGCTCCCTGATCTCTTTTTAGTTACAATCTGGCTCCTAAACCCTAGGAAAGTCGTGTTTCTATTTATATCAAATAGAAATCCTAAACAGTGCAGGAAACGAGGCCCAGGCCCAAAACTGCGTCACGGTCGACCGCGACGGTCGACCGTGAAAGTCTCACGGTCGACCGTGGCTGATTCGCTATCGACCAAACCAAAAACCCGAGAGCAGTTTTGATTACAGTCATGGCGCGGTCGACCGTGGCGGTCGACCGGAAACGTGCGGTCGACCGTGGTGGTCGACCGCCTAGAGCTTCGTGCAGGCGGTCGCCCGCAGAAGCACCAGCAGCCTTCTTCTGTTCGTTCCTGCAGTCTTCGACGTTGCCGCCCCCGACGACTTCTTCCATGTCTCCATTCTCAAGATACCATATGAATCATCTATCCTCACACTTCTGATGAGGATCGCTAAGTTCCCGAAGAGAAGATACACCCGTATCATGGGTTCCCCCTTTAGAAACTTGAAGTCCCGTTCAAGTTAGAACTTCAGCTGAGGGAACTCGCGAGCCCCTCCTTCTCTGTTGAACCACTTAGCCTTGCTAGGAACCTGACCTTGACGTCCAATGAGAAACGACTCCTTCGTCCCCCACCTCGTCGTGGTCGTCTTCCGCTCCAAAATGCAATCTTCTTTTAGCGGCTCCTCTCTATCAAACCACAAGTCTTCAACATGCGATAAGATCGTCTTGTCGTCACCTTCATCATCCAATAATGGAGGCTCAAACAACTTTAAATACTCGGCATTGATCACCGAATACATGCCTAACTAAGGCGACAAATCTAGTCTGAAAGCGTTATCGCCAATCTGATCGAGAATCCAAAACGGACCATACCGAATAGGCTTCAACTTCTTCCCTTCTCCTTTTAGCCGTTCCTTACCCAATTTTAACCATACCATATCACCTTTACCAAAATTACAAGGAACTCGATGTTGATCATGTTTCGCCTTGTATTTAGCTTGTGATTTCTTCAATTGTGCTTCAACCGAGGCATGAATATGCGCGATCTTCTCCAGAAATCGTTGAGTACGTTGTTGTTCATTCCCCTCCTTACCGTCTGCCGCGGCTTCACTCAAAAACACAATATCAAACGGACTCGGCGGTAAGAATCCATAACAAGTCTCAAATGGTGATTTTCCCAAAGATCCATGAATCGCCCGATTAAAAGCAAACTGCAAATATGGTAAGCTCTCATCCCAAGTCTTGGGATGCCTAGAATTATACCCCCATAACATGTGCACCATAGTCCGGTTGAGTACCTCTGTTTGCCTGTCTGTTTGTGGATGAAAGGCCGTGCTCTTCTTCAGTTTAGTGTCCATCAAACTCCACAAAGAATCCCAAAATTGTCCGAGAAACCGGCTGTCTCGATTCGAAATAATTAAACTCGGCAATCCAAAGTGCTTTCACACATGCTCAAAGAACAACTGCGCTGCACCCGCTCTCGTCACGGTCTTCTTACAAGGAATCAAGATCACCATCTTACTGAACCGGTCCACCATAACGTACAAATAGTCATGCTCGTGCTTTATAGTTAGCAACCCTCCTAGAAAATCCATAGAAATGCTCTCCCACGGCCTGGAAGGAACTGGTAATGGTAGGTACAATCTCCTTTTCCTATTAGAAGGCTTCGAAATACAGCATAATTTACACCCTCCAACATACTTGGTCACATCATCAAGCATCCGTGGCCAAAACACATATCGCCGTAGATTGAGAAGCATCTTTTGAATCCCAAAATGCCATTGCACACGCAAGGTATGTGCTTCCCGAATCCATTGCAACCTATCACCATCCTCCGGAATGCATAGTGATGTCCCACGATACAACAAGCCATCCTCTCCAAGTGTACACTCCCCCCTTCGACCAGTCTTTGCCTGCTCAAACACACTACCGAAGTCTCTACTAGATGCATACAGCTGTACATACTCCAACGGAACCAAGGGCTGAATGCGCGTCACTACCAATAAAGACCTTGCCGGCGGACGAGATAACATATCGGCCAACTTGTTCGTCGCCCCCTTCTTGTACCTAATAATGATGTTGAAAGCCATCAAATAAGACATCCACTTCATATGCCGTGCCTGCTGTAGCTTCGTCTCAGCATGTAAGAACTCCAACGGCTTGTGATCCGAGTGCACAATCACCTCCTTCCCCAACAACTACACCCTCCAATGCTTAATTGCTTGATACAGTGCATAGAACTCCTTGTCGTAGGTCGGGTAATTCGCAATGGCATCCGAAAACATCTCAGAAT